CTGGTGAACGTCCGCCCCTTGCCCTAACACATCAATCTCGTGTCCAGACACCGAAACCACAAACAACAACAACCCCAAACTCCACTCCCTCCCCCAACACACACACACACCTCATTGTCAGCTCCAGGGTCCCTTAGTACTCGAGGCCCCTTTTGTGTAATTATTTAATTCAACCTTATACATAAGTCTCGACAACACCAGAGTACCAAAGCCTCAACAATATGATGACATCATCAGTGAATGAGTGGCCAACTGAACCATTAATTCAACATCGCCGCCCGGATGTAAGACAAGCAATAGGGGTTGTTACTCCTGGTTATAGCTTGTTACACCACTTATGTAACTGTGTATGGTATCATGCCTACCGGTGGTGTACCGTTTGGAAGACAGGCTGGTGACGAGTTTTACCCGTGGCGCAGATCAGCTGGGGCAATAATACTCAATTACATACACAGTTGGTTGGGCTGCATTATTAAAACGGTTTATGTTGTAATAGCAGCCGCATGATGGCTGTTGATACCAATGTGTATACAGTAGCACTGATTTTTTAACTTTAAAAAAGTCACAGGGCACGAATTGTGAGATAAAACTGAAGATAAAACTGAAATATATGGATAACAAATATAGGTGAGGTGAGGTGAAATTGGGTTTAACGTCGAGCTTGAGAATATTTCGCTCATATGACGACGTGCATACGAGTGTATGTGTATGTGCGGCTGCTTGTACTAGCCCAGACTGAAGCTGGTTTTATAGTGCTAGCCCACTGAGATACCATGCCGCAGTGAAGCATGAATACCCCACTCAGACACATTATACTGACTCCGTGACGACCAGTCCTTGTTGTACCCATTAATGCCGAGCGCCAAGCAGGGACCAACAAGTACCATATTTTAACGTTTTTTTGGTATGACGCGGTTGGGATCGAACCCGCGACCTTCCGCACTTCGGGTGGACGCTCTAACCACTACACCAAGGAGGCGGCCAGAACAAATATAGATGCGCGGACACACTACAGTGGCTATAACGATGAATCGCCATGAGATGCGTGTCTTTCAAGTCCTAACGAAATGGATGAAGATATAAATCATCTTTCTCCTCTTGAAGACAATCCATTCCTCTATATGATTTGATTCGCGGCTGCTTTTGTAATCAGTAAATTTCAAGTTTATTTAACCTTTGGCCCAAGTCTGATTCGAATGAGGAGACATCCAAGTAAAACTGTCCAATTAATATCATGCATTTTAGAGACAATTTTCTTGGGAGGTTGAGAGGGAGAATGTAGTTTTACGCCGCCAGTAGCCATATTCCAGCTATGTCATGCCTAGGAATACAAAGGACTGACTGACTGACTGACTGAGTTTGGTTTTACGCCACTTTTAGCAACATTCCAGCAACATCACGGCGGGGGACACCAGAAATGGGCTTCACACATTGTGCCCAAGTGGGGATTCGAACCCGGGTCTTCGGCGTGACGAGCCAACGCTTTAACCATTAGGCTACCCCACCGCCCCGAATACAAAGGAAGAGGCTTCACACCATTCACTCTTGTGGGGAATTTAGTTGTTGTTCCTTTTAGATATATCAACACCACCGCAGTGAGGCTACTGCAGAATCATTTATTGCCGGCTGTTGTGGAACATTTGAATAAGGTGTACGTGGCATATGAAGTCAGGTGGAAACAGTGTTCCTGGCAGATCGGGGTCGGGTGGATCTTGTGTTCCTGGCAGATCGGGGGTCAGATGAATTTTGTGTTTCTGGCAGATCGGGGGTAAGATGTATCTTGTGTTCCTGGTAGATCGGGGGTAAGATGATTCTTGTCTTATTGGTAGATTGTCGGTCAGACGAATCTTGTGTTCCTGGTAGATTGTCGGTCAGATGAATCTTGTGTTCCTGAAAGATCCAGGGTCGCACGAATATTGCGTTTCTGGTAGATGCGGTGTAAGAAGATTCTTGTGTTCCTGGTAGTTCGGGGATCGGACGGATCTTGTGTTCCTGGTAGATCGGGGACCGGACGAATCAAATCGGAACATGAGTCTCATTAACCTGTTCAGAAAATGACCTACTTTTCAGCCGATCCGAATTTTCTCGTGTGACAGTGAAAATAGACATCACAAACAACTATGGTTACACTGAATTCCAATTCCTTGTTTCATAGGAAAATGGGATTTACAAATGAATTTTAATTTTAAACTTTAGTAACATCGTATTTTTACATTTTATGGCGAGGTGTAGGCAGCATGACCTTAACTAAGACGTCACAGACTGTCCCTGTTTGATGAGGTCGTAAAATGATTCACAGTGCATCTGGCACACTGGTTACACCTGTTATGTGTTTATTTGCGCTTATTCAATGTAGTTCTGTAACGCACAGTGTGATTGATATAATATCAAGTTCGTACCAGACCGCCAAACTTTTCTAGCGGGAGAGCCTCGTTTTGAGATTTCCATGTTTCCGTTTGTCAGAGTTCGCTGTACGACAGAGCACGCTGCACGCCGTGTTTGCAAGGATTACAAGGAGCGTAGTGTTGCAATATACAAGTGTTTAGATGTATCAAATAATACTGATAAATAATTTATATGTATTCGGTTAAATGAATTGGTCCCAAAATTCTGGACTGGTTATTGTACGAAGTTGCGCAATAGGACGGGACCCAGTCAACAGGAAACGCGACTGTTGTGTAACCAATGTTTTGACTTGCTTGTGTTCCTGGTAGATCGGGGACCGGACGAATCTTGTGTTCCTGGTAGATCGGGGGCCGGACGAATCGTGTGTTCCTGGTAGATCGGGGGTCGGACGAATCTTGTGTTCCTGGTAGATGAACCAAATGTGCGCTTGTTATTTTTCTCTACTAATAAACAAAATAGAGTCTTCATTTTATTCATGGCGAGACAATATAATAATGAGAATAATAATGAGAATATTTATAACCCGCCTTTTCTAGGCTAGATATCAGCTCAAAGCGCACTATCCGATCATTATTACTCCGAAGCTGTTTGTTAGGCGCTAGAAGGTTTTTAATTGTCTTACGACCTATTTCACCGGGTACCCATTTACTGCTGGGTGAACAGAGGCAATTTTGAACAAACTCACTTGCCTAAGGTGAGACCATATGTATCACATGTGCTTCATTGTGGGGCAGGACTGAAGTCCTTGAAACTCTCAGGAGTCAAACTGCCAAACACAGTCACCCATCCAAGGACTCTCGGCTCCCAACGTTTTAAACTTCAAATGATTGTGACCTGAGCTCTTTGGACAGGACCACACGCCACCACAATACTAACTGATAACAACATTTTAAAATAAGTTTCATTGTTGTTTCATTGTTGTTTCACAATGTTGCAGCTACGTGATCACAGTCTGAAAACAACAGTCGATCCTGTTATCATTACAACACTACGTCTGATTGTTATGATTGGACGCATTCGTGACCAACTCGGGTTATTCCGGGACAAGCCGAATAGCGACTCGTGCCCCTCTGGAAGGATTTCATATTGGCTCATGAACATCAGAACTACTTTAAACTAGAACGATAACTCTATCCCTGTTTGAAAATCACCGAAGCACATGTACATTGTATTGCTAGGTTGTTTGTTTTGGGGGTTTTGTTACTTAATTGTTTTAAAGAATTAAACTTCTTTGATACAACCAAAAGAAGGAGAAAAACATATTTGTTAAAGACATATTCTAATGTAATTATTACCTGCTGTTCACCTTATATTTCCAATTATGTTAATTTTCTTAATAGCGTTTAATCATCACAAATGGGAATTGTTTTATTGAATATACAAATAAAATAATAATTTTTCAGCTACATTAAATCCCAAAGCAGATACTCCAAAAATGACTTTAAAATATTTCTCAAACTGAACATTCGTGTAACCTTGCTGTCACACCCCCAGTGGAATTTTAAATGAATTCGCTGAGTAAAATATGAATGACCAAAAAACGTCGCCCCGTTATTTTTGTAGCCAAAATATATTTTACAAAGTCAGACTAAAATATCCCCAGAGCTATGAAATATAAGCCCAATGTTAAAGATTAAGGTTGATTAGTTACATACAAATACGATAGTATTGTTTTGAAACTCGTAGCGATTATAATTACATTTCCTAAAATTGGTCGAAGCGCACGTACAATCTCCATAACAACCCCCGCAAGATCGTCAGAAATACACTCAGTTGGACCCATGAGAGCAGTTATGTCAACAAACGCACGTGCGTGTATTTGAATCTCTCACCTTCAATCGCATGATTCGTATTAAAAACTTTATAATAGGCAGAAAAATCCTTTTAGATACGTTCTTTGTACTTTCAATATGACGATATATATTTTTCATGATTTTTTAAACAACGACATAATGCCATAAACGATTTAAAAGCTCGGGATTATTTTTATCAAAGCACCGCGCTCATTTACGGGCGTTCTGACTGATTTTCGCACATAACAAGTATCGAGTTGGGGACTTCTTGAGGCTACGGAAAGGGGCGAAATGTGACGAATGGACGAGGTGGGTCTTGTGGTCATGCTCGGATAATCGTCTTACAATTAGGGAGAAAAATAATGCTCATAATATCAATCACTGGTCCAGACTCGATTTTGTTTTTTACAGGTCACCATCGTATAGCTGGGATATAGCTATTGCTGAAGGTGGCGTTGACAATAAACGAAGTGAAATGCTGGAGCTTTATTTTGCTCACAGCACGTTACTGGTCATTTTACGTGTGCTTCTAATCATTTCAGCATGGCGAAAAAAACAAAAATAATATACACATTCTTTGCTGTAACTGGTAAGCGGTCTGAATGGTGGAGCTACTGTCACCGTGAATTATGGACATAACAAAAACACATCAAGCAGTTAAAATCTTAATTTTGATGTATGCAATGCGGGGCTCGAACTCCTATAATCGATAACGACAGTTTTAATATATTATTGTGAAGAATTTGGGGCAATGCAGGATAGCCTCCCTTAGATATACGATTTTCATAATAGAGGGCGCAGTTGGGTGACGTCACTTATATCCTTCTCGCTAACCTCGTGTAAGATGGCAGACACAAAGTTATACGAAATTTTAGGCGTCAGTAAAAACGCTTCCGATAATGAAATCAAAAAGGTAAGAACGGTTTTCGAAAGGGGGAACGGTATTCTTATAGCCTAACACAGTTCCTAACCCGAAAATCTGGTCTTTTATTGGCTTTTGGCTGTCATTTTGCACGTGACAAAGAATGTTCTTCCGTTTCTAGAAAGATTTTTTCGTCATACGTCCATTCATAGCCACCTATTCGCATCGCATTATTTTTACATAAACGTCACGGGGTTTCCCAAATATTTTCCTAGAATTATCTAATGAATTGATAGTATATTTTCAGAAGGGCAGAATGATCGGAGATGGTTTGAACAAACGCTTGGGTACATGTTCAGACGTAGCGATCGAACATGACAAACGCATAACAAAATCTGCTTGCTCATTCACCCAGCATGTTTTCATTCTAAGGGAGTTTTATCCACGACCTGCATATAATCATTTGTTCGAAGTGACAATGATTCTGATTAAAATTTAGAAGACATTGACCGTTATTACCAAATCATTATTGAAGTAAAAGTGGATTGTGATATTTGACCATTATTTGGGCCCAATACCAGAGGGTATTCAAACATGAAGAAATTTTTAGAAAATTTATCATTCCCATTCAACCTACAGAGAGTTCACATTCATATTTCCTTGATTTACTGTCTATTTCATTTTATAAATGTGATATAGGAACGTGGAAAGTCATACTTCCTGTTTTAGTTGAGATTCAGAGGATTTAGCCAGAGGGCAAACAAGATAGCTAAAGATATTTCACAATATCAAGCTTTCTGTATTAAGCCATCAGTGGGGAATGGTTTCTTTTGTCAAAAATACCTGGTATCAATATTTGATAGTTATTCATAAACACATGCTGATGATAATGACTTATGTAATCAACACTGCTTTGGGTAGAGATTTCTCACGGACGTCACAATGCTATGGCATCGCTGCACTGCAAATCTAGTGGTAATACTGTGTTGAGAGATTTGGATGATGAATAGAATATCACCCTCGTGTCTACTGATATCAATTATATCAACACTCGTTGATAAAGGTGAAAATATCCTCGGCAAGCCTCTGATATTTGTAACTTTATCAACTCGTGTTGATATAATTGATATCAGTAGACACTTGGGTGAAATTCTCTATTTACCCCCAACTGGTACATATTCTTCTCCTCATACTGTCCTGTCACCTGTTGCCATGGAAACAGTTTTCATATTACTTTGATGTTACTTTCTGTTTCGCACAAGAAATGCTTTACATTGCTACATGCTGGATAACATTTAGCTCTTCAAAAAATAAAATCCCAATATCCCCATAAATCATAATAATTGCCCATGTTCGTTTTAGTAACATGTTGCTATGTGGGTTTCACATTCATGTGTACCAGTAAAGAATCAGATTGGCAGATTAAGATGTTAGAAAATTTCTTTGATGGTTTCTTATTTGGGTTTCTTTATGGGCTGCTGTAAATGATCAGTGGCAGAACAATTGTTTTTGATAGTATTTTTCTCTAGGTGTGGAAAGTGTATCAGTAGCAAGATAAAAATCCCAGCACTGTCAATTTCAGTAGAACACGGATATAGCGTACAAACGGATATAGCGAACAAATTTAAAAGTCCCGTCAACAGTCCTTTATAATATCATTAAAATTATACGCGAATAACGAACTCGTGAGTAGCAAATTAACGGCTATAGCAAACTGATTTACTACCCCCAAGCCCAAATAACGACGTGATTAGCGAACTCACTCAGTGTCAGCTCAGCCACTTAGCTGTATACATCAACCTTGTTGGCGGCGAATCAACATTGTTCGATGGTCATTAACGTGTTTAACAAAACAAACATGCCGTGTTTAAAAGCTTGACTGGTATACAGGTTTTCAGTGCACTCTCGTCACTATGGCAGGCAAACGTAAAGCCATCACTTTTGACACCAAGCTTCAGATAATTCAGGCTGTAGATTCAGGTGTAAAATCTAAGACAAACATCGCCTTCGACTTTGGCATTCCAAAATCCACTCTCAGTTCCATTATTAAGAATCGCGAATCGATTCTTGCAAAATCTGTGTCAACTGATTTTGGCCCCGCCCGCAAAAGGTTTAGAGCTGCCAATCACCAAGATGTAGAAGATGCTCTCTACAAATGGTTTCAAGGGGCTAGAAGTGAGAACATTCCCCTAAATGGTCCCATGTTGCAGACTAAGGCAAATGAATTGGCATCTAAGTTAGGTCATTTAGATTTTAATTGCAGTGGTGCTTGGATTGACAGATTCAAACAGAGGCGTGGCATCGTATGTAAATCAAGTCACGGGAAAAGTGCATCCCCGACTGATTGGCTGAAACTCGCCTGCCTGGCTATCTTGAAGAGTACAAGCCTGATAACATTTTCAATGCTGACGAAACTGGCCTCTTCTACAAAATGAAACCAAACAGAACTCTTCACTTTAAATCTGAAAAATGCAGTGGGGAGAAAAATTCTAAAGAGAGAATAACATTGTTGGTAGCGGCAAACATGTCCGGGAGTGAAAAACTTCAGTTGTTAGTCATAGGCAAGTCAGCAAAGCCTAGATGCTTCAAAAATGTATGCAGTTTGCCAGTAACGTACAGATCAAATACCAAGGCCTGGATGACTGGTGAATTATTCACAGAGTGGATCAAAATATTTGTTACTTCAGCATATACGTGTCTCTACATCACTACAATCCAAGATGGCGGTCAAATGTGAATAACGAACACCGGATATAGCGAACTAAATTTCGTGGTCCCTTGGAGTTCGTTATATCCGTGTTCTACTGTACTTAGTTTTCATTGTGGCTTGGAAACCATGGTAACAGGTAGTAATACATCATTCATGGCAATATGACAGTTTTAACTTACGGAAATGGAATGAGAGTGATGACTAACATTGTCATGGCATGCTATGCATTTTGATGCAAGTCATTTGTTTTCAGTCACTAAACAGCTTACACAGTTGTGTAAAACAAGGTTATTTGAGGACGTTTGATGTATTGGCTAATCATGTAATTTCTCTTGTCACAGGCTTACTACAAACTGGCAAAGGAATTTCACCCTGACAAAAACCCAGAATCTGGTGAAAAGGTAAATTATTTGCTGTTTCAAAGGCATGTTACCCCAAGAACATCAGACAATATAGGTAAAATGTTTGTGAGTTTGTTGAATGAAAACATTGACAATTTAGATGAACTCCCAGATTTTGTAATCCTGTATGGATAGCAAGGACAACAGCGGGGAAAAGATGTATTTTCAGTTCTTAATATTAAAAGTTAGTTACAAATTATCAAAGCAGAGTGTTGTTTTTTTCATTCACATTATCATGTAGGAGTTCTATTCAAGGGGCAATTAATGGGATCAGGTGGTCAGACTCACGGACTTGATTGAAAAAATGTCATTGTATCCCAGTTGTGTGCCTGCCATCATATTGCTGGACTGTTGATCAGGGGCGGTGGGGTAGCCTAGTGGTTATAGCGTTGGCTCGTCACGCCGAAGGCCCGGGTTCGATTCCCCACATGGGTACAATTTGTGAAGCCCATTTCTGGTGTCCCCCGCCGTGATATTGCTGGAATATTGCTAAAACGGCGTAAAACCATACTCAGTCAGTCTGGACTGTTGATGAGTGCTGGTTAAACAATAGACAAACAAGACTAGTTCTATTCAATGTGGTTCATCGGTCATTCTTGAATCTATTTCAGTTTAAGGAAATAAGTTTTGCATACGAGGTACTATCTAACCAAGAGAAGAGAGAGACGTATGACAGATTCGGTCTTCAGGGTTTGAAGGAAGGTGCATCTGCAGGTAAGCAGACGTGTTTTATTATGAAGTTAATCTGTTTCAGCGAAGGTTTGAGGAACATTTGTTTACTAAGTCACAGAAATATATGTGACATTGATAGGAAAAACCCAAATCAGTCATTCATTTTGTGACTTCATACATGATATACTGAACTTGTTTCAGGGGGTGGCTTTGGAGGCGGCCTCTTCGATGACCTGTTTGGAAATTTCTTTGGCTTCCCTGGTATGGGAGGTGGTGGCGGCGGTGGAGGAAGGAACCGCAGGAGGCGTGGGGAAGATACCTTCCACCCTCTCAAGTAGGATCAATATTTTCATATGTCCATGTAATAGAAAATACTGTGGTTTGATTAGACTTGTAGGAATAAGAAATTCATTATTCTTCTAAAGCCTTACAAGATTCTGGATGACAAATGATCAGTGTCCTGGTAGTATATCAATTTGGACAAGCTGTCTTTATTCTTTGGCAGACTGATGTGCTATTGAACGTTAGTAACTCTTTAATCTGTTTAATAAATTCAAGGATAGAAATAAACCTAGAACATGTAAGAAACTTTCATTGGAAATTGTGACATATGGACAACCTTGAGTTTGTTATTCTGTGATCACCTATGTTGTTACCGTTAGCATTGAGGAAACTAGTTTGGTTAATCCTCAGAGGGTGACTATTTGGCACCCATGAAGATCAGGGTTAGAATTGGTCTTCAGCAATCCTTGTTTGTCGTAAGAGGCAACTAATGTGATGTGGTGTCAGACTCACTGACTTGGTTTACACGTCATTGTATCCTATTTGCATAGTTCGATGTACGTGCTGTTGATCACTGGATTGTCTAATCCAGGCTCTGTTTTTATATTGTATTGTCCAAATAGTGCTATCAGTTTAACTTTCCACACTAGTTTTAGTTGTAATTGTGATATTCTAGTTGTCTTACTGTCTTTTGTCGACAGGTTTTCATAATATACATATATTCCATTTCAATGTCAAATATGTTCTCGCGACGATATAGCTGAAATATAGTCTGTTACGTTAAATATTAACTCACTCACTCACTCACGTCCAGGCTCAATTATTTACAGACAGCTGGAATATTGCTGAAATATTGCTAGGTGCTGCATTATACAACAAACAAAATGTGATGATAGTTAAAAACAAAATCTCAAAATACTGTTTGGTTTTATTTGCATAGAATGTATGACAGCACATAACCCCAATATGATTTATCATAACAGTGTTTTGTATGTGTTTGTTTGAATGTGTTTAAGAATGGAACTTGTCTTTTATTTTTCAGAGTGTCTTTAGAAGACTTGTACAATGGTAAAACTGCCAAACTTCAACTTAGCAAAACTGTGATTTGTGGAAAATGCAATGGGTAATTACATCATTTCCTTTCTCTTTCGCGCTGATGTTATATTTTATTTCTAAATATTTTGCACGACCGCCTCCGTGGTGTAGTGGTTAGAGCGTCCGCCCGGAGAGCGGAAGGTCGCGGGTTCGATCCCCGACCGGCCATACCAAAAGACATTAAAATATGGTACTTGTTGGTCCCTGCCTGGCTCTCGGCATTAATGGGTACAACAAGCACTGGTCGGCTCGGAGTCAGTATAATGTGTCTGAGTGGGGTATTCATGCTTCACTGCGGTATGGTATCTCAGTGGGCTAGCTCTATAAAACCAGCTTCAGTCTGGGCTAGTACCAGCAGCCGCACATACACATACACACACATGCACGTCGTCATATGAGCGAAATATTCTCAAGCACGACGTTAAACCCAATTTCACCTCACCTCACCTAAACATTTTGCACAACCTTGGATGTAGATTCTACCTGGTAAAGTGATAAAATGTCTTTGTGATGGATGATCTTAATGACAGTTTTCAATCAATCAGTGTCAGGTGAATTTCCAGACACGTACATGTTTTGTGTACTACACTGCCCTTGAAACCACACATTGCTAGCTTATATCAGGAATATCAATTGAACCCTCTCCATTACCCAAAGGGGCGACAGTGTAGCCTAGTGGTTAAAGTGATCGTTTGTCACAACAAACACCCATATTTCCCACATGGGTACAATGTGTGGAGTCCATTTCATATGTCCATCTCCGTGATATTGCCTGAATATTGCTAAAAGCGTCATGAAACAAAACACGCACACACTCACTCACTACATTACCCTAAACAGTAAACACTATTCAAATGTCATAGTTATGGCCTGAAGAAACGTCAGTTAAACTGAATTCATGTTGTGATGTAAATGGTGTCAAGAGAATGGAATTGTGTATATTTTTGTGATTAACTAACACTAAAGTACTGTCGGAAATAGAAAAACACTGTATTCTCTCATTTATCTCTACAATTTATGTAGTTGATATGTGAAAGTGTGTAATATCTGTTAAACTAAGTTCCGCCTAACTACAGTCTCAGTGGTAGAGAGATGGGAAACGGAGAAAAAGGACTTTACTGAGGGGAAATTAGTGCAGAAATGAGCTATGCGGATTTTTACTAAGTCCAAAAAGACTTATTTGGAACAGACCATGGCTTTATGCAAATTTTTGTGCGATGATATTGTATTACAAAGGACACTTTTTAAATGCCCAGTTTGAAATTAGGCGTAGGTTCATTATAAACGATAGCTGACGTAAAAAAATAATAACTTTTATGCTGAAACTATTAAGGATGTAGCTACCATGCAGTCTCACTGTCACTATAAATACAAACAGATAGGAGGGGTCGCCACAAAAGCAGAACCTGGGGTCGGGCTTGGGGATAGAGATATCAGCTAAGATAAGATAATCCTTTAGGGCAATTATACTGGGGGAGGTACACGGCAGGTCATAACAATTTACAAATAATATCCAGTCCTGTCGATCTTCGGGTGGTCATGCCACCTATATACTATGATGCGTTTCTATAAATTTCGAGTATCATATTCTTTTACATATCTCAACATAAACTTTATGAATGAAGGACACATAAGATGTTAATCAATAGATGAGACATAGTCAACACACATGAAAAAGCACAAAATATCTTTGAGATGACCCTTTGTGCCTGTAGGCAGCACGTGCATTTCATGCCAGGTGAGTCGACGGTCCGTCGTCATACCTGGCTGAGCGACCTAATTGCCATCTATAGTCTGATCTATTGTTTTCAGCAGCTATTCGTATTTTTTGCCCGATTTTACTAGTAAACATGCTTTTCTGGATATCGTATTACGCACCCCACTGAGCGCCCAGTTAGGCCGAAGTGGGTCATTTCGACATATGCTATTTGCAATTGTGTAATTTTTAGGGATACAGAGTCACAGCCTAAAAACAGTTTTTTTTTTCTATTTCCGACAGTACTATAGGAATAGGACTAAGTGTCCTGTCAAGTAATAGGATGTTATTCATACATACTTGAATGTCCAGGTACATTATAGTAGTCATGTGTTGCTTCAATCTAAAGATAGTGGAATCAGGCTAGAAATACTGCCTTGTTTATCACAGTATATTGTGGTACACTACACCGCTGTAAAGAAGTTGATATTTTAGTTTTAGTTTCAGTTCATTTAGTCAGAGGAAAGCCCACCTAATATATGTTTCCAAATATTTTGTACTATACTTGGCATGTTTTATCATGATTTAAAATCAGTTTCTAAAACACTATTCTTTTATTAACTTGTATCATGTATCTTCTTTGTGTGGCATTTACTAGCTAGTATGATGAACAGGAACATTGTTTTATGGATTGACAACTTCTTAAATGCAATGGATGCGATATTTTGGTGTAGATGCTAACACCAGGATCACTTGCCTGTTCATTGTATCATGTATATGACCTGTATGAGATGAGAAGAAAATGGTTGGAAACACAATGATGAATATTCAAATACAGCAAAAGGAGCTCTCAGTTTGTTCCTAATGTTAGTGCATGAACTTGAGCTAGAGCTATGATCTCTCTGTTTATATGTTGCTACTTTATAGAAATAGTACACATAAAGGTCCACGTTAGAATATTGATCTTCAGTAACCCATGCTTGTTGTAAGAGGCAACTAACAGGATCGGGGCTACTTTATAGAAATAGTACCCATAAAGGTCAAGGTTAGAATATTGATCTTCAGTAACCCATGCTTGTCGTAAGAGGCAACTAACAGGATCAGGGCTACTTTATAGAAATAGTACCCGTAAAGGTCAAGGTTAGAATATTGATCTTCAGTAACCCATGCTTGTTGTAAGAGGCAACTAACAGGATCGGGGCTACTTTATAGAAATAGTACCCATAAAGGTCAAGGTTAGAATATTGATCTTCAGTAACCCATGCTTGTCGTAAGAGGCAACTAACAGGATCAGGGCTACTTTATAGAAATAGTACCCATAAAGGTCAAGGTTAGAATATTGATCTTCAGTAACCCATGCTTGTCGTAAGAGGCAACTAACAGGATCAGGGCTACTTTATAGAAATAGTACCCGTAAAGGTCCAGGTTAGAATGTTGATCTTCAGTAACCCATGCTTGTTGAAGAGGCAACTAACAGGATCGGGTGGTCAGGTTCGCTGACTTGGTTGACACATGTCATCGGTACCCAATTGCTCAGACCGATGCTCATGCCGTTGATCACTGGATTGTCTGGTCCAGACTCGATTATTTACAGACCACCACCATATAACTGGAATATTGCTGAGTGTGGCGTAAAACTAAACTCACTCATTATAGAAATAGGCCTATGGTCTTGTTTGAATGCGTCAAGTGGATATTTCCATGTTGTGGAATGCTGAAAGAGTTTGTTTACTTGCAGCATGGGGGGTAAGCAGGGAGCAACAGTAAAATGCCGTAACTGCCAGGGCCGGGGCGTCAAGATCACACTGCGTCAGCTGGGCCCGGGGATGGTGCAGCAGATGCAGTCTATATGTAATGAGTGTCATGGTGAAGGTAAGTTAAGTGGAACATAGTATACGGTTTCGTATCTCCTAGTCATTTATGTATTCTGATCATGCTCACAGTCCGTTGCATTTATTTTATACAATGAATGATAAATAAAGAATTATTACCTTTACAAATTATGGATGTATTTTCATTGCTGAAAAAGTGTCACGTTGGATAACCAGTGAGACTGTTTTGACCTTTGACCCTTGACCCACCTTGCTGTGTTCAGATGTGGCATTTTCATGCATGATTAAGCCAGTGGACTGAGGGAAAGAAATATTTTCAGCCAGCAAGACTTTTAATGCATGACTTGATGTTCACCTCCTCATTACCTCTTGGCACTTCTCTTGATGCTGGCCTTGGTCAATATCAGTTTCTTTGGTCCATGAAAACAGGATATTGCCCTAATGAATGGTCAATAATTGATCAACAGTGTCAAGGTTAATCTGGATACTCTATACTGAAATTTTTGGGGTGGCACAACATTCTGGTCTTTGAAGCTAATGATTTGTTTTGTCATTGGGTCAGAAGCTTTAATTGAATTTACGCAAACGTTGTTGCTTTACTGGCTATAGTAGTAGCATGACACTTCTAAACATGACATTCATTAACATCAAATTATCAAAAATACATAAACTAGAATCCCATATATTGATGAATGCATAATGCTCATGAAACTTGTATAGCCTGTTGAAAATGTACTGACTTGTGGCATACAGGTTTTATTGGATAATGTAGATTAGTCAAATGGTTCGGATGCGTCAAAATGATGTTGAATGATATTTGGAGTTCACTTGGAAGTAGAGGGTAATGTCCGTGTAACTCTCCATTCCTTAACAATAATGGAGCCGAGGCACATTATTTTTAAGGAATGGAGAGTTACAAGGATATTACCCTACTTAAATTACATTCGAAGTATTGGAAATATTTCTGTTTTCAAAATTAAATGTCAAAATGACAAAATGAAGGTTTTATTTTGAAACTGGTACACATCGCTCCATTCCTGAAAAGTAATGGAGCGAACAGACAATGGAATGACGTCACGAATGTAATTTAACTTTTGCCAATGTTTACAATTCATGATGTATTTTTACAAGTTGTAGACATGGCCCCATTAAACAAAGTTATCTTGGTGCTATGGCTATCAGTCATTCGTAAAGAATGGGAGTAACATAGAGCTATGATTGCTTTGTGGAATGAGATCCAGATCTGCTACTTGACAAAATTAAACAGCATGTGGCCATAGTAAATAGTACCCATGTAGCTCAGTGGCAGGTAGTTGGGGACCGCTGTTATTAGGTGCTTGAATTGTGGACCAATGGTCGAAGTTGCCAGATTAGTAGATGTGGTGTAGGTGCCAGAATTATGGACCCAGGTTCAAATCCACAAAGCGTTCGTAACGTTACGACCTATCGTATCTCTATACTTTATCGGGCGGTGGGGTAGTCTAGTGGTTAAAGCGTTGGCTCGTCACGCCGAAGACCCGGGTTCGAATCCCCACATGGGTACAATGAGTGAAGCCCATTTCTGGTGTCCCCAGCCGTGATATTGCTGGAATATTGCTAAAAGCTGTGTAAAACCAAACTCAGTCAGTCAGTCTATACTTTATCATTGGCTTACAAATGGCATAGTGCTTTGAACTTTTTGTGGACTAGTGGTCACCCCATGTAGGGCTATCTTCCCCTTGATCTACCAGAAACTTATGATCCTGGGTTCGAATACCTGTTTTTAGCAGATTGTTTCTAGGTTTTCCAGCGCTATACCTGTGCTCATAGATGACATCAAAGTGTTAAATGCCTGAGACATGCATATTCATCCCACATCAAGGTGGCATGTTTAAAGTCCCATTAACCTCAACTGGCTCATCCAATCCCAACTGTTTAAAATGTTTACTGGTGCTTGAGATTAGATAGTCTTATTTGAATGTTGGGACCCTAAATCTTCAGATTTATCCATTAGGTCATCTCAAGTCCTTGACTTTTATGTATTATTTTCCAGATTTTATACCTTTTACCACTGGTTTAAGATTGGTATGAACTGTTTTATTCAGGTGAGACAATAAGTGACAAGGATAGGTGCAAGTCTTGCAAGGGGAAGAAAGTAACGAATGAGACAAAGATTTTGGAAGTACATGTGGACAAAGGAATGAAAGATGGCCAGAAGATTCCATTCAGAGGAGAAGGAGATCAGCAGGTAGAGTGGAATAACCCATTGTTATATTATATATTCAGCAAAACAATAATAAAATAATTATTTGACATTTTTTGTTATGTTGACAGTATTATCTTTATGAGATAATGTCGAGTGACCACATTACTGTCAAACGTCAAAAGAAGCAAGTAACAATCTATGCCAAGGTCTGGCTGATTTATTTATTTTTATGAATTTACGAAGAATTCTTGTTCCAGTACTGTTAACAAATGCTCCAATGAAATTGGGGTCAGAATTGGCCTTGGGCAACAATTAAGTGGCAGGCTTGCTGTCTTGGTAGATGCATGTGGTTGTATTCCAAATGCATAGATCAATGGTTATGATGTCAGTTGCTGAATTGTCTTGATTATTTACAGACCATCATCATATAGCTGGAATATTGTCGGGGGGCGTTACACAAACTGTTATTTGAAACATTTCTCCTTGCAGCCTGACATGGAGCCAGGTGATGTGATTATCGTCCTCCAGATGAAGGAGCACTCTGTGTTTTCCCGAGATGGTGTTGACCTGTACTGCACTCACACTATAGGGCTTACAGAGGCTCTGTGTGGCTTCCACTTCTCCCTCAAACATCTAGATGGCCGGGAGCTGGTCATCAAGAACCCTCCAGGAGATGTCATTCACCCAGGTACTTGCCTTTCCTAATGTTGAAGGGGTATAGTAGTGGGGTAGCCTAGTGGTAAAAGCGTTCGCTCGTCATAACAAAGACCCAGGTTCGATTACCCACCTGGGTATAATGTGTGAAGCCCAATTCCTGGTGTCCCTCGCCGTGATATTGCTGGAATATTGGAACTTAACTCATTCACTCCCAATGTTGAACCTTGCCTTGTCCCCGGGCTGGCCCACAGGCTGTTGGGTATGTGGTTCATGTGCTTGCTTGTCACGTTGTAGACAAAGGTTTAAACCCCATAATGGTACAATGTGTAAAGCCAGCTTTTGGTGGCCCTGTCAGGATATCCATCATCTAGATGACTTCCCAAATTTTCTTTCAGAATTGTTTTCACATTCTTTCTTTCCCACTGTTCAGCAACCTGACACCAGTATTGTTCTGGCCATAGTGACAAGTTTAGTAACAATGGTAACTGGTATCAGCCAAAGATGAGGAAGTAGATTCATAGGCTTGGTTTACTATGAGATGTGTGCTTTTTATTGCCAGAAGTTACACCCATGTTGGCACCAGTCATGGTCCAGATTAGAATTCTTGTCATCAAATCCCAACTGCCTAGATTAGTAGTCAAGATGACAAACACTAAATTGTCTGTTCCAGACTTCAGTATTGACACGTCATGTTCAAATAGTAATAACATTGTTTGTTCAAACAAAATTCAGGGCCTAGATTTTCGAAGCTCTCTTAGCGCTAAGATAGTAGTAAGTGCCATACGTTAACATAAACTTAGGACTATCGTAGCGCTAAGAGAGCTTCGAAAATCTAGGCCCAGAACTTGAAAATGGTTGAGAGTTACATTTTCAATATCCTTCCACATATTGATGGCATTTATTGTTGTAACCGATACACTATTTGAAGACTTCAGGAAATATGCCACAATATTTAAATGATATTTAGTCTGATAATCAGATGTTCATTCCAGGCATGATAAAGACAGTGCTCAGTGAGGGCATGCCAATCTACAGAAGCCCCTTCGAGAAAGGAAACTTGTACATAAAATTTGACATCACTTTCCCGAAGCAGAACTTCACAACAGAGGCAAAACTTAAGGTGAGAGTGAAACAAGTGGAGTGATCATAATACCAGGTGATAAGAGATCATTATTTTGTAAGATGATGTATAGTCCGTTTGGCTCAAAAGCGGACCGATGAATTGCAATCTAACTCGAAAACTAATAAACATAAAATGCTCAATGAAACGCTGATCATAATCAAAACATCAGACCAACTCTGAGAGGTTTTTGCAGAATTTATAGCCTAAAAAAAAAAAGTTGTTTAACAAACTATCATTAAAATATCGACACAGTTCACTATTTGTTACGAGGGAGGAGGTGCAGAGAAAGTGACAGCCAGCTGTTAGAGAAGCAAGTGCCGACAACGTTACTGATTCATTAACCTGTGCTGTCCCATCTCCATCCTTTCTCGCACACCTGGCTGTCCCTTTCTCTGCACTCCTCCCTCGTAACAAATAGTGAACTGTGTCGATATTTTAATGATAGTTTGTTAAACAACTTTTTTTTTTAGGCTATAAATTCTGCAAAAAACCCTCAGGATTGGTCTGAGGTTTTCATTATGATCAGTGTTTCATCGAGTATATTATGTTTATTAGTTTTCGAGTTAGATTGCAATTCATTGGTCCGCTTTTGAGCCAAACGGACTATAGTCCAGATCAAATTGAACTTTGGTGCATGGAAATTAGGGCAGGTGTAGACCATTGCTGAAACCAAAGAATGTACAGTTCACTTTAGACTAGTACCGTAAATCTCCATATGAAGTTCCCTTCTCCAGTAACCATCAGAATCGTGAGAATAGACAAGAAAGCTGGAATGGTGAACGTGTAAAGAACTGTGTACAGCACTCATGCCTGTCATATACCTTACAACTGGTAAGGCAAATGGTATCTGACAGATGCTTGTGTCGTAAGCTCCGTGAAGATCTGGGTTGACACGTGTCATCGTATCCCATTTGTGTAGATCAGTGCTTGTGCTGTTTGATCACTGGATTGTCTGGCCCAGACTCAATTATTTACAGACTGCCACCATATAGCTGGAATATCGCTGAGTGCGGTGTTATACAACAAACAAACTAACAAATGTAATCTGTTTCTGATCAACTGCAGAATGTGCAGTACAACTCACTTTTTAAACCTGACACAGTTGAATTTATCCGGTTTCAGGAATTGGAGACATTGCTTCCAGTTCGTGAAAAAGTTGACATCCCTATCGGTGACCATGTTGAGGATGTTGATCTCGTCAACTTCGAAGATACACGAGGTAGTGATGGCCGTCGAGGCGAGGCGTATGATGAGGACGATGATGAAGATCACCATGGGCCAAGAGTACAATGTGCTCATCAGTAGTAACTTATTACCTTCACATTTTATGAGAAGACATTTTTTACTCTTGGATATTTAACTGCAGAGGATGTCGATCTGAACTCAGCAAGGTCAAAGCAAGAACGATATTGGAATCAGACCTTTCAACTATATTGGTACGAATCTTCCCACGTCTTAACGTGGAGGCGTTTGATAGGTTTAACCAATAACTGTAGAGTTGCTGCAACTGTGACATGCCTTTTTAAACCTAATTGGACATAAGTCAAGATTACCCATAACTAATTCAATGCCTGCTGCTCTTGAAGAAGCAACGTGTTAGAGGACAGTGAAGAGGATGAGTTTGGTAGATGTTTTCCAGCTGTCGCAACTCTGTATACCCATCTAGCTGAGTTTTTCCAAGTTGAAAAGAACGTTCATGTTTGATACATGTCAACATGGATATCGCCCAATGCAACAAGAGATATGTCTGTAATTTAACAAGGATGAACACTTTATCACTGACAAACTTGTCACAGAGGACCGTCACAGTTTGAAGTGTACATGGAATAACTACTATTTTAAAACGTTCAAAGAAAGATTGATGGTCCTGTTTATGGGGCTTGAATATTTGCACAAACTGTGAATTTGTTTTTCATGTTTTATGATGAGAGTGTTGTACCATGAGATGGATGGATGGTAAATATCTGAGGCCTGTTACACAAAGTGATCGTAGCGCTACAACTGTCGTAAGTATATGTTAAAGTATGCTAGTTACAATCATCTTAGCGCTACGATCACTTTGTGAAATGGGGCCCTGCTCTGTATTCTCTACCTGGCTTTCAGTTCACAATGTTTGTGATGCATTTAATCATAGTAACGTGTCCAGTATCAATGTGCAGGCTTATGTCCCTCATTTCAAGTATCGCCAGCATTACAACATCTGTCCAAGGGAAGGACATGCATATGGATACAGCAGACCTTACCTGTGGATGTTAAGTGTTTGTACAACTGGTACTTGTAGGTTTGTGTCCTTTAATCTATCCATGTATATACTGATCAGTATGTTGTAGAGTTCTGTGAAAGCAAATTATACAAGCAAAGAAATCTAAATGTTTATAATTTGTGAATTGATGTTGAAAATATGAATTAACAAATTCCAAGATTACAGTCCTATTTAAGACATTTGTGCTTGTGGTTTTTTAGTTGAATATAAAGAAATAAATGAGAATATTAATCTTGATATGACTATACTGTATAGAGTGTTTTTCAACATGTTGACTATGTGCCCAACTGCGTGTTGTATGGAGCTGAATATTTGGTCTGATGTGTTTAATGGGTAGGGCTGGCTTAAAGGATCGATAATTGGAAATATCGTAAATAGGAAAAGTTATTAATGATTATCGATATGAAGATTTTGTCATCAAGATGTACAGAAACTATTGTAATGAAATAAAGTTTTTATTTACTCACATAATACACAAAGTCAGGTGTTTCTTAATGGGCTGTTTCTAATTATGTTCTGGGCCCCGTTTCTCAAAGCGATCGTAGCGCTAAGGTGATCGTAACTCCCATACTTTAACATAGGCTTACGACTGTCGTAGCGCTACGATCGCTTTGAGGAACGGGGCCCTGGACACTGTTTTGGTAGTTGTCCATGCATAAATATGTCTAACCAGTGATCTGCTTATCTCTTTCAATTTTCATTTTGTCTCAAGGTAATTTTTCCAATGTTTATCGATAATCAGTCGATATTTAGTTCCCATTATCGATCCCTATGATCTATATCGAGCCAGCCCTATTAATGGGGTACTCAACCACAAACGACCTATGAAATATGTATTGAAGGATTAATATATTTATCACACATTCTTGGTTTCCAGAATGTTTTGGGGGGTAATGTATACAAACACATTAACTTACTTCACTGAAGTTAACACCAACGCCCACTTTCATTTGTATATGTAACATTGATCCAGTCATTGTATGGCAGAATATTTCACATAAATACATGTATTTTATTAGTTCATTTTATCTTAAGTCTCAAGTTCAGTGTGTAAATTAAATAAATGCATCAGATATGTCCGTGTTAAAGTGTTTCAGCTGCATTCTCTAAGCGGCCTTTTGGATGGTCGTGCTTTAGGATGTGAGCGAGTGAATCTTGAAAAGGCCTTTCACTCTTAAAAGTTGGTTTGTAAAATCTTTGATTTCTACTGTCGACTTTTCCGTGCATCAAAAACAGAAGCAGATGAATGGACAACAAACAGCACTGGTCACAGCTGTTTGTGTTGAAGTATGATTGCAAAATAATACCAAATGATTATTGCTGTAGAATCAAGATATAGTGTTTTTTGTTAGTCTTGTGAACTGAAGAAAGATGTATGGCCTTAGCAATACACCCAGCAGTATTCCAAATATATAACAGTGGCCTGTAAATAATACCATGTGGGGAACAGACCGTCCAGTGGTCGACGGATGGTCAAAGTATGACGTGCAGTCCACAGTCACGGTGTCTAACCACATGATACATTTCAGTCCTTGCTTACAAGTATTTTAAATTAGGTCCATGCAAGTTGAATAAAGTAGTATGTAATATTGAAGGAAAACCAAGTTCTATGGATAGTCAACTTCTTTATTGCAATGGACTGCCTCCGTGGTGTAGTGGTTAGAGCGTCCGCCCGGAAAGCGGAAGGTCGCGGGTTCGATCCCTGACCGTGTCATACCAAAAGACGTTAAAGTATGGTACTTGTTTGTCCCTGCCTGGCGCTCGGCATTAATGGGTACAACAAGGACTGGTCGGCTCCTAGTCAGTATAATGTGTCTGAGTGGGGTATTTACGCTTAACTGCGGCATGGTATCTCAGTGGGCTAGCACTATAAAACCAGCTTCAGTCAGGGCTAGTACCAGCAGCCGCACATACACATACACAGGCATGCACGTCGTCATGAGCGAAATATTCTCAAGCACGACGTTAAACCCAATTTCACCTCACCTCACTTTATTGCAATGAGTGTGACGTTTGGTGTAGGTACTAACACCATTATAAAGCAAGTGATACAAAGAGTTGAAATGTCGCACACATTGCAATAAAGAAGTTGACTAACCTTAGAACTTGGTTTTCCTTCATCCATACAACTTCTAAAATGCCTCTCAAAGAAGTATGTAATACTGTATGTCTGTTGAACATTAGGCTACCTGTCTGTTTTGCAATGTTTGCATCCCTTAGACTTGCCAGAAACCAGGGCCCAACCATGGTTCATCCTACTGGTCAGAACCATACATGTACATAATACACAGCAAAACAGATGCATCACTCGGGACTTTCCTCTCAAGAAGCTGACTTTATGTGAAATTAGAAACACTCTTCCACATGGTAAATGTGTGTACAATGACCGTTACTACTTCTTAACAAGATAATTTTTTTCCTGCAAACCTCCCCAATATTGTTCGAAGTCATGAACTTTTGTAGTATTAATAATAAATTAATATTACATGAGAGATGCATGTAGTACGTACCCAGATTATCCTTGATCATGAGTTCCTTCATGTGACCTCTTGAGAGAAGTCTGTAGGATTGACTGAAATCTGCTGACATCCTTGGATCTATTGTCATCCACTGGAAGCCCAAGTCCATCGAGTATTCAATCCCTACTGAATGTTGTGTTCTTGTATGTTGTTCTGATTGGTGGCACCACCACTGCACATGGTTCATAAAGGCAAGTCAGGTTGAATCTGCTGGTTGTGGAATATAGCTGTGACGCATACCACACCAGAGAGCAGTACTTAGGGTTATATCACTCTGGCACGTGTGGGCTTCAACCATATGCCAGATCTATTTCCAGGTCAGTGATGGGTTACTCCATGGGATTACCTAAGCCCATTTTATGACAGATTAAGTTTGTTTCGTAATTCATTGATAAGTTATAGGGGCGGTGGGGTAGCCTGGTGGTTAAAAGTTGGCTTGTCACGCCAAAGACCTGGGGTTCGAATCCCCACATGGGTACAATGTGTGAAGCCCATTTCTGGTGTCCCCTGCTGTGATGTTGCTTGAATATTGCTAAAAGCGGCGTAAAACCAAACTCAGTCAGTGATAAGTTATACTTACTTCAGCCAAATTCAAATATGTCAAGACTTAAAGGTTTCAGACAGTAATAAATGTTTTTCGGTCTTTCATATCATCATGGCCTTGATAATCCAGGTGTTTGCACTTGTTGCAGTGACGCTGCCACAATGGTTTGTAGGCCAGTGTTTCCATAATGGGGCAAACATGACCTCACTAGTCTCTCGTCTGTTGAAGCTGGTTAACTGTTCTTTTCACGAGCAAGACGCTGCTAATTATTGATTACAAACTGAAAAAGTTTGGAGAATGATTTATGGAGCCTCAACATTAGATATTATTATTATACGGGTATTTATATAGCGCTGTAGTCCATCCCATTTGCATGCACGCTCAAAGTGCTTGGTTTTTCAACTCGTTCATTGGATGACAATCTCGATGGCACATTTTTCAGTCTCAGCTCTCTAGGGAGCATACAACAGTTATGTGGCTTTCCCATTTTTGCTTTGTCAAAACTACTAACAAATTACGGTGAAATCTTGATAATGGAACTATTGGCCTTTTGTCCCTATGGGACTATGTATTTGGCGGCGTCCGTCCTGATTCTTGATTTGGTGACAGCCTACATTGGGGGATTACGCAGACACCAGTTGATTTGGGAGACCGTGACCTTATTTTCAAGGTCACCACGGCACTTTGACCACTTTTCAAACTCTTGTTAACGCGATATCTCATGAACTGTTGTACCTAATGTCTTCAAATTTGGTGACAGCCTACATTGGGGGGATTACCCAGACACCAGTCGATTTGGGTGACCTTGACCTATTCGTCAAGCTCACGACACTTTGACCGCTTTTCAAGCTTATTTAAACATTGCACCCAATGTTTACAGTTGTGTTGTCAGCCTACATTGGGTGATTATGCAGACACCAGTCATTTCAGGCATCTTGTATGTGACCAAAAAATAAAAAGTAGTAAATATAGATATTCCTTTCTTTAGCGGCGGGGGACATTGCCATATCAGTGGCAAACACTTGTTAAATTGTGTCATCACATGGATGATCGGAACCTTTCAACAGGGCCCACTTTCAAACCAATTGTTCCAGTAAAACTGTTGAACTTGTGACATACAGGTATACAATATATTCCAATAGGTCTTCAGCAAACAATACTTGTAGGTGACTATCCTGATCACGTGGTCAGTTTTATGGTACAGATATATAACCGAATTGGGGGCGGTGGGGTAGCCTTGTGGTTAAAGCGTTCGCACGTCACACCGAAGACCCGGGTTCGATTCCCTTCGTGGGCACATTGTGTGAAGCCCCTCACCAATCAAGTGGTCAGGCTTGAGGATTTGTCATCGGATCCAAATTCACGAGACCAGACTACTGTCGTACATCCGGATCCTGCTAAGTGTTCTAACTTGCTTAGCAAATTTACTTCAACCGGACTGTCCTTTAAGTCCTTGACATATCCATGGAAACAAATTTAAAATTAGTCAACAATATGTAAGCATACATTTAATAGTATCCTGTTACAAACCACAAAATAAAGAGATTGCAACAATGACTTAATTACAGTGAAAAAATGTTTTTCGTAACACATGCAGGTGGTCACAAGTACACCTTACGTCATTTACTAATATTTGGCCTAGTGAAGATACCTTTATCTGAGTAATGTGTAGCATATTTTCAGATATATTTTATGGCCATCTTGATAGCTTAAATGCAGGAATGATTACATTTCTGGATTAAGATGTCTTGACATGTCATCCTACTTGATGTGTCATGTTCATCAGGATCGTAATGATCTAATGTGCAATCTACATGGTGTTAATTATGAACCATCATCCAAAAAGTTAATCAAAGTCAAGATATACCACAAATATTTTCCCTCCAATGTACCTTCCTTAGGCCAGACCAATTTTATTTCTTGTTTAACGAATCCTCCTTCCGTATTTTTCAAGGATAAGAACAAAAATAAACATTAATTTTCCCCGCTCAAAAAAAACTTGTACTGTTTTTATTGGCCCAAAATTTAAACTTACACAAAAAAATATTTTAGATTGTTTTTTGCCCCATATACAATTCATAAATTGCCAAAATTAAAATACTTTTAGTATTTAGAAGGAATATTACTTTGGTGATATCTGGGGAAGGAATATTACTTTGGAGATATCTGGGACTTCATCATATAAACAGGAATTTTAGATTCAGAAGCTGAATTTTCCACATTAGAGGGAAATTACATTTGTAATTACTCGCCTCTTTCCGTGACCTACAAGAAGACTCGTACCCCTATCATACGCCATTATTGCCAAGAATCGTGGCAAACCAATCAAATCGCGAGTAGTAAAACGCATTTTGAAGCATGAAAATGGCGGCACCATTGAAGTTTGAAACTTCACTGAACTATGCAAAGCACAATTTAAAAATAAACTTTGAGCTAAAGGATCAGAAACTTTAAACACAGAAACATATTTACAAAGGGAATAACTGTATTGCTGTTTTGCCCACGGGATATAGGATATTCTAGGAGCCATGTTTGGAAATTCAGAGTTATGTTTCCTTGGTAATAGTACTAGACTCCATGCCCGCTTAGACAGGGCCCAGTCGTAAACATGGCCACGAGAGGGGTACAAGACGCCATCTGGCTTGCTGGAATGACACGAGTAGTTATGAATGAGGGAAATTAGTCGTGAACTAGTACTGTAATGAGATGAAATGTGCATGATTACTAATTTCTACAGAATGAAGATCACAGTGAGATATAAATCATGAAAGAGTGGAATATCATATTGTTGTATCACAATGGCTATAGAAGGCACAATGGCAAGGCTGTTCAGTTTCCCTTTGTTTCCTGAGGCAGGGGCCGCTGGGGGAGTTGTCTCCCCTGCTCCATCAAGGCCTCAATTTCCTCCACTGTTCTCGGTACACAGGTAAGTACTTCTACACCATCTTCTGTGACAGCAACATCATCTTCAATACGCACCTGAAATACGAGAGATTCAGAGAATGAAAGATGGACTGATCAAGATTATGTTTTCCTGACCACCATTTGATGAATTGTTGATAGTATTTGAAGAACTGCAAAAAAATATCAACTACATTTGAAAGTTTCAACCATGTGTGATTCAGAAAGATTTTCCCATGAAGTGTTGCAAGCATCAAATCTCTTATCTCAATCCTGACACAGATATTGAACATTTCTGAGAGATCAATGGTAAGCAAGTATTTTCAAAATCGAAGGTGGAACACTTCTATTCAAATTCCCACACAAAAATGTAATTTTTGGAGTAAAATTGATATTTTATACTTATCCTGACTCATGCTCTTTTTGCTTGTCTTCTTCTTCTTGCGAACATAGTGGAACACTTGTATCTCCCTAATTGAAGCTCCCTTCAATTTAAAATCACTAATTAGTATTCACCACGAGTTACCTCCTTTCCACAAGCGCGGGAACGAGGGCGCCACCTCTACCCATGTGCCTCACTCTCTCCTCATATACTGAGCCCAACATTTGAATTTACAGGAAATCCAAAGTGTTATTTGGGGAGGAGGATGGGAGGGCTGACCTCATGAGTCAGGATAAGTATAAAATATCAATTTTACTCCAAAATTACATATTTTTCCTTATCCTGACTCATCTCTTTGCTTGTAGCATCCTACGAGCGGGAGGTGGGAATATCTAATACTTTGGTTTTTAATAATTAGTGATTTGAACTGTGATGATTGTAATAACCCTATGGGAACTTCATAAAGGCACTGAACTGATGAATTCCTGCTGCTAACTTATCAGCTGCCATATAAAAGGTTATTACCATGTACTTCTATTATGATAAAGTATATATAACATTAATACAATGCTTAAGACTAATAGACTTAAGCTTGTTAATATGCTAGTATAAACTCCTTAGAGTTTGTTAGCTAAAATACTTTAAGATATAACATAGTACTAAGCTTAAGATATGATTAAACTTAAGCTAATTATATAATAGCAAACTCTTTAGAGTTTGTTGGTTAATATACTTATATGATATAGATATAATGCTGAGCTTAAGATATGAATAAGCTTTAGCTACATATATAATAACAAAAAAAACTCTGTAGAGTTTGTTAGCTAATATATTTTTATAATATGAGTATAGTACTGTGCTTAAGCTATAATTAACTTAAGCTACATATATAATAGCCAAACTCTGTAGAGTTTGTTAGCTAATATATTTTTATAATATGAGTATAGTACTGTGCTTAAGCTATAATTAACTTAAGCTACATATATAATAGCCAAACTCTGTAGAGTTTGTTAGCTAATATATATTTATAATATTAATTATATAGTACTGAGCTTAAGATATAATTAACTTAAGCTACATATATATAGCAAAACTCTGTAGGGTTTTGTTAGCTAATATATTTTTACAATATGAGTATAGTAGTGTGCTTAAGATATAATTAACTTAAGCTACATATATAATAGCAAAACTCCGTGGGAGTTTGTTAGCTAATATATTTTACAATATGAGTATAGTAGTGTGCTTAAGATATAATGAACTTAAGCTACATATATAATAGCAAAACTCCGTAGAGTTTGTTAGCTAATATATTTTACAATATGAGTATAGTATTGTGCTTAAGATATTATTAACTTAAGCTACATATATATAGCCAAAAAACTCTGTAGAGTTTATTAGCTAATATGTTTATAGTGTAACCATAGTACTAAGCTTAAGATAAGATTAGACTTAAGCTAAAAGTATATAGCAAAATAAACTCCTTAGAGTTTATTAACTAATATACTTTTTATGTTAAAAACATAGTACTGAGCTTAAGTTATGATGAAACTTAAGCTATATATATATAATAACAAAACTCCATCGAGAGTTTTGTTAGCTAATACTTTATAATGTAAACATACTGCTTAAGATATGATGAAACTTAAGCTAATTGTATAATAGCGAAAACAACCCTTTAGAGTTTGTTAGCTATGATATAAACCTAGTATTGAGCTTATGAAGGAAAACTTAAGCTACATATATAATAGCAAGAACTCCGTAGAGTTTGTTAGCTAATACATGTTATAATGTAACCATAAAGCTTAAAATATGATGAAACTTAAGCGAAATATATAATAGCAAAACCCTCTTTTAGAGTTTTGATAGCTAATATACCTATATGATATAAACATAGTACTTTTAAGATATGAATAAGCTTAAGTTACATATATAATAGCTAAAACTCTGTAGAGTTTGTTAGCTAATACATGTTATAATATAACCTTATTGCTTAGAAATATGATGATACTTATAGCAAAAAACTCTTTAGAGTTTGTTAGCTAATCTACTTATATGATATAAACATAGTACTAAGCTTAAGATATGAATAAGCTTAAGCTACCTATATAATAGCAAAACTCCTTAGAGTTTGTTAGCCAATATATTTTAATAATATGAGTATAGTACTATGCTTAGGGTATAATTAGCTTAAGTTACCTATATAATAGTAAACTCCGTAGAGTTTGTTAGGTTAATTAACTTAAGCTATGTATAAAATAGCCAAAAACTCTGTAGAGTTTGTTAGCTAATGCATTTATCATGTAACCATAGTATTACTCTTAAGATATGAATAACTTAAGGTAAATATATATAATAACAAACTCTGTAGAGTTGTTAACTTATATATTGTATGATGTAATAATCATAGTACTGTGATGATAAAAGGAACTTAAGTAAATTATACATAGCATGAAGCTATTTAGTATTGTTATAAGATAAGTAAAATCTGTTAGATTGACTTATCTTCTCGAGAACTGTCAGCTGTTGTCTGGGACCATGGGATCGAATTGGTGTATACCTGAGGCGATCCTCGGTGGTGATATCTCTCAGATAATGGTTTGCAACCACCATATCAGGATTCCAGAAATAACCCTCCATTATTTCAATCACATTTGTGTAGAACAATTGTAGAAGTTAGCGCTATAATATCATGAGTATTAAGCTCATGGAGGGCGGAATAGGTCCATCCATATATGCACGTGAGTATGACAGTTCTGATCCAAATGGAGATATAGTACATGAGACTTCACTCTGCGTTAAGTTGATGATAGAGGAAATAATCTGTTGCATTTTTCCTCCTGTTTGGTTTGGTGGAGATAAATTTACAGTGCTCTTGCTGGCCAACTTGATAGAATCATCGTATCATGGGGTCCAAGTATGTCATCCAGGCGTGTTCATAAACCTCACTTGTGAGTGTTGGAGCACTATATTCATATCCCAGGTTGGGCGTGAAATTTCCGTTTATTCTCCAAACAGAAGTTTAGTAGGTTTACTAACCATCTAGTTGTGTTAGTTAAACGATGAAATTCAGCTGTAGTCAAACGCTGTGGATTTAGATCCACTTGTATCTTCGTCTAGGTAATTAAGCTCGAAGTCCTTGACGATGTAGGTGCACAACCAGGTGTGTCTGTCCTCGTTGAACTTTATGTAAAATCGCTGACTGCCGATCCCTCGTCTTAACTTGACAGGGAGGTCTCTAACTGAAGAAAGGCAGTCTAATCATGAATGTTCAGGTTAACTGGACTGTAATGAGGCTTGCTTTCCTTCACTGATATATAGTTGTCACTTGTAGTACGTAAGTCTTGAACTGTGAATTGAGATCGACCTCTGTGTAGGTCGTTGTCCCTCAGCGGTCCAATCAGAACAAGGCATTTTGATTCTGTATAATACCCGCTGTGATGTCACCACCGTGTAGCGGAAAACCCACCTTGAATAAATTCTTGTCGCCGCTGATATTAGCATAAGCGTCGGTCTTCACCGTGCTTCCTCGAAGTTATCCGGTGACCACGTGTTTCGAGGGTTAATGGTAATCGCTCGCTCCGAAAACCTCCGGCGAAATATCTCGCTTCTGTAATTTTATGCTGGGTAGGTTATTTTCCTGGTTGTCGTGAAAGTAATTTCAGTTTTGAATATAATTCGACTTCCTTATATATAAGGGTATAAACAACTTGCAAGTTGTGAGCTTGTGAGACTGTATACATGAATGTATCGCCATAATTGTAGAATTAACGCTTGAACTTGTTGTACATATTTCTTCTCAGAAACTTTGGCGATTAAGAGTTATACTCGCTGTAACAAGGCTGCTGTTCAATTTCGATATATTGAATTGTCTGCAGATATGCGTAATGGTCACGCATGTAGATAATCGTATCGTCGTCCGGGATTGTATATTAGCAATTTATCACGGAATAGTTGATTTCTGTGAAGATCTAAGAAATGTCGTTGACTAATAATACAGCGACGTTCTGTGTTGTAAATAGCCTGAGCAATTATCTTCGTAGAGCTTATAGACGGCATCTGGCATACAGTTGATAATCAACTTATGCGACGTCTTGAACGGACTGACAGTAGCTATATATGACCAGTGGCTAGTATATGGAAACCTTGGAGGAGACTTCCTCGGTGAACGCCGGAGACTTCGCTGAAGTTCTCAAGTATCCCTTCTAGATCTTCTGGGTGAAGTAGACTTGGAGCCACTTAGCCTTAGCGACCATCGCGAAGGTGTCGAAATCAAAGCCGATTAGTATATATATATATATATAAATATATATATGAGCTTTGCCGTGAACAGCCCCTGTGTTTAACAGGATGTGGGATCGTGGCGCTTGCCTAAGGCTAGGGCCGCGCATGGATCATCTTATCATATTCAGAAGTGCGTGATCAAGTCTGGTGATAAGTGTCTAATTGATCGTTCTAGATCTATTTAGGCCAGCGAACATACGTCTCGTCATGGATTCAACAGAACCAATATACGTTGTAGTTCTTATACTTGATATCGATGATCAACTTGTCTATGGGTTGATCTTCTCGGAGACTTGTGAGGGGAACGTTGATAGTTTCAGCCGAAGCTCTTGTTTAGTCCCTCGATGTCCTTCTAGATGATGATGATCTGGATTCAGGTGTCGCTTGCATGCCTTGCGAAGCTTCCTTCCTGCGTCCGGTCCGGGAACGACGATATGACCTTCAAGGCTTCCGTGATGTCTGATGGTCCGAGTCCACATCTAGGGATGAAACCGCATAAGGTGATGATCTATCCTGCCTTCGCCGAAGTCCTTCGGCGAAGGCTGTACATCTAGGTTCTTTCGCCTTCGCCGAAGGCTGTACATCTAGGTCCTTTCCGCGCCACAAGGCCTTAGCCTTCGCTGTACATCTAGGTCCTTCGTCCAAGGTGGTCCGTGACTTCCTTCGCGAAGGTGACATCGGCCCTGGCTGCTACGTTGACGGGGGTGCCTCTGGGGTGCTGTCACGTTGGAGCCTTCAGCTTTCGGACCCTGCTACGCGAGATATAGTGGTCCTCCATGATGTTCATAATTTGTCGCATCATGTCTTCTGGGATGGTCTGCGCACGCAGTGCGTCGGTGCTTTATCTGCGGTGTTAATGGAGGGTCCACCGAAAATCGTCCGACATCAGTGTAGAGGCATCAGGCTGCATGGTGATCTCTGCTGATGTCGTTGTAGCTAATCACCAGTCGTTTCTTGTGGCGTGCGTCGGGGATGATGATCAGCTGATCATCGTAGAGGTCCAGGTCATCGGCTGGAACAATCTCGGTTGAGAAAGTCCTAGTAGACTTCGTTGATTTTCCCTCAGAGGTCGACGCTGCCCTGGGTGTGCGACGTCTGCGTTGAGTGTTGGTAATGATGGTATCTGCGTTGGTACATCAGGCTGCATGCTGATCTGAGCCGACATCGGTCAATCTTTGATGTACATCTGGTATGATGACCGGCTGATCATCAAACAGGCCCAAACTGCGATGGGAACGGTCTCGGCTGTTGAGATGTGGTAGAAAAACCCTCTAGTCTTCTGCTGCGACGATGGGATGTCTGGGGAAGCAGGATGCTTCTTGGAGATGGCGGACTACGTCCCACACCTCTCCACCACTCTAGCGGAACACCACACGGGAGGGGAGTCGGCCAACAGCAGTAGACTGGCGAGGGGTTCCGGTGTATCAGTCATACTAGAGTCTGCATACGCGACCTATCTGCTGTGCGTGCCAAACGCAAAGTAAATATTAATAAAAAGGTAGAATTGGATAAATTAGTACCGCAACTGCAATGTGAATATAATAAACATGGCGCCGTACATCATATTAAAGGCGGATCAGCAGCAGCATAAAAAACGTAATCTGCAATAGTACAGAATTTTCATCAACGTAATCCACTGAAACAAACACGGCGTCCCCGTGAATAAACTGTAAAAAACGACTAAATATCAATATATAATCGTTGAAGGATACTAGCTAAACCTCTATAGATGTCTATACGAGGTAACTAACTAAATATATTTCAAAGGATATAGTGTGTCGGGAGACACAGGCGCTCTCACGTCCAGCTCACTGGGCGAAGAAGGAGAGAGTGAGGCACATGGGTAGAGGTGGCGCCCTCGTTCACGCGCTTGTGGAAAGGAGGTAACTCGTGGTGAATACTAATTAGTGATTTTAAATTGAAGGGAGCTTCAATTAGGGAGATACAAGTGTTCCACTATGTTCGCAAGAAGAAGAAGACAAGCAAAAAGAGCATGAGTCAGGATAAGGAAAAATACTGTAATGTTTATCCAGTCCAGCAATACAAGGACATGGACCTACCCCTCCAAAACCTCTGTGATCGTCAATCTGTCCCCGATTCAGGAATTTGGCCTGGTCGGTATTGGCAAGGGCTTCATCAAGCAGCTGTGAAGTAAACATTATATGCTCAAAGTTGGCTGAATGAGCACTCCAACATTAGAAAGATATTACTCAAAAGTACTCAAGAACACCTGATTTTTTCATATGACTATAATTAATTTATCATCAGTCAGCCACTTTATAATTAATTTATCATGTACAGTCATGTTATGTTTATCATGTTCGGATAGTGAAACGTTCGGTTTATTGAAACAATTAAGAAAACTACATAGTATCACTTCGTGTGGACGAACAAACGAGAAGACAACTTTGTCAGTAAAGACGTCAAATTTGCAATTTAACATCGCAAGACCAGATTATTTACCTATTCAGTTCGAATTTGTTTTTGCTAGGCATTGTCTTATATGTAGGGATTACCATGTGTAATTGTCTCGTATACAGTGCCGGAAATAGCAATTAGGTGTGCAGGGCACACATTCCCATACCGGTGATTTAGTTAAAATGTGGGGCGGTGGGGTAGCCTAGTGGTTAAAGAGTTGGCTCGTCACGCCGAAGACCCGGGTTCGAATCCCCACATGGGAACAATGTGTGAAGCCCATTTCTGGTGTCCCTCGCCGTGATGTTGCTGGAATATTGCTAAAAGCGGCGTAAAACCAAACTCAGTCAGTCAGTCAGTTAAAATGTACCCGATAATATAATGAGATGAATTCTGAAAAATATAGTATCTGAAACTATTATTTTATAAAGAGAAATATATTGTAGTATTAAGTCATTTTAGTTGCAGATTGTGCTCTGTAAATGTAAAATATTTAGAAGCATCACTAAGGTTATGCGACAGCTTTTTGGTGCATTGCCTGAATGGAACAATTTGACCTGTCACCGATGAGGTTTCGCGGAACAATTTGACCTGTCACCGATGAGGTTCCCCAGAACAATTTGACCTATCACCGATGAGGTTTCGCGCGAATCTTGCTATTTTCACAGCGAAAGCAGTTTTGTTGACATGTGATCGTCCATCTACACTAATTATGACTTTTGGTGAAACAAACAATGTACAGTCGAACCCCAGTGTCTCGAACTCGGTTGAGACGAATTATCGGTTGTGTTGAACTCATCTCTCGGTCCCCGCCGATTTCCTTATATTTATCATTATTTCTATGTTGATGGATGTTTCGAACACTCGGATAAGTCAAACTGTTCCCTTGGTCCCGACGAGTTTGACACAACGGGGTTTGACTGTATGTATATCCATTTACTATCAACTACACTTCATTTCAAGACGTGAGTAGACGCAATAAGTTTGTGATTGGCTATTGTTAGGCAACATGGCTGCCGTAGATACAGCCGGATTAATGAAGCAAAAACAAGTACAATTAGCTCGGATTAGGAGCCTGAAGCATCGGATTAATGAATCAACAACTGAGATTGGATACATCTTGAGTCTGTTCGGATAGCGTGGGAATCGGATTATCAGGGACCAGGCTAACGTGGCCTGACTGTATATATACCGTGTGTCAGAATGTGTTTCAAGGCTCGGATAAACTCAGATCGCACGGCCATGTAAAGCTCTAACACACTACATCCATAACTCACCCAATGGGTGGGTGGGCCAAGTGGTTAAAGTACCTGTTCTGGATTTGATTCCCAACATGGGTACAATCTGTGACACACTCACCTGATCTATGAAGTAGCACCCTGGTTCCACTGTCAGTACCATTCTGTGTTCCAGGTTACGGACTGTTCGGAGCGATCGCAGTCCTGGCTCGTCTATTCGCTTAGTTCCCTGAAGACAAGGAGCCATTTTTACTGTTTCAGCAATAACTTTGTTATCCTGTGGCATAGGTGGAGCTCCAACACATGAGAAGGTAAAAAAGATACTCGATTTATATACATTGCATGGGGCACTGACCTTGAAACCAATGGGTCATTTAATTTAATTTAATTAAATTAAGAATATTTATATCACTCCTTTCCGGGCTTGATATCTTGCTCAAAGCGCACAATCTGATTATTATTATCCCGGATAACCCAAGCTACCTATGAAGCGCTAGAAGGTTAATAGCCACATGACTTATCCCACCGGGTACCCATTTTCTGCTGGGTGAACAGAGGCACTTTTGAACAAACTCACTTGCATCACATGTGCTTTGTTGTGGAGCAAGACTCAAGTCTCAGAAACTCTCAGGAGTCAAGCTGCCAAACACAGTCACCCATCCAAGGACGCTCCGTGACCGACATTAGCTTAACATCAACTGATTGCTCACCTGAACTCTATGTACAGGACCAAGCACCATCATTTGTAGATAAATGGTCTTTCCCCATCATTGCATACTGGAGTATGCCGAGCCATAAAACAAATTTTAAAAAACTCAAAATAAAGATTCAAGTGTATTTATGGCCTAACCAGTACCTCAGGATATCCTCCAACATCGTGAGTGTCAATACCCATGAAGTGGCCGAGGCCGTGTGGCATGAAGACAGCACCAAGCCTGACAGCCATCATGTCTTCCACCTCCCCCTGCAACAACCCCAACTCCTTCAGAGCCGACAACATCGCCCTCTCCGCCAGCTTGTGCATGTCCGCGTAGTTCACACCTGTTGGAAGTTGGAGGACTTATTCAACAGCACCATGTCTTAAGGCCTACCTTTGACTACCTTTAACCATGTGAACTTCCACCTAAAAGTCACCCTTTGTTTTTAAGAGCCATTACATCTGATCATTCTATAATTGCTGAGTGTGGCAATCAGTACCTGGTTTGATGGCATCGATGACTGCCCGACTGGCCTTGTACACGGCGTTGTAGACTCCGGCCTGTTTCTGGGTGAACTTGCCGTTAGCTGGGAAGGAGCAGGTGATGTCTGATGTGTAGCAGTAGTACTCCCCGCCCATGTCGAACAAGCTGCAACACACAACACAAACTACGTCTTCAGAGTCATCCTGGACAACAGCCTGCTGGACAATGTTTATTCCAAACAATGACCTGATACATATACAATATTTATCTCAAACTATGAGTGAGTAAGTGAGTTTAGTTTTACGATGCACTCTCCTATATATTCTAGCTATCGAGTCTGGACCAGACAATCCAGTGATCAACAGCATGAGCATCGATCTGTGCAATTGGGAACCGATGACGTGTCAACCAAGTCAGCGAGCCTGACCACCCGATCCCGTTAGTCGCCTCTTACGACAAGCATGGGTTACTGAAGGCTCATTCTAACACGGACCTTCAAACTTCAAACCGACTAGACCATGTTCTTCAGAAAGGTTCAGCTGCACAAGGATAATCATGGAATATTTTTATCCAAGACAATGATTATCCATGACCATGTCGAGTTGTTCATCCTAGACAAAGACCAATTGGTTCATCCAAGACCCTGGTTCATCCAAGGGACTATTGTGCTGAACATTGTTCATCTTAGACAATGATCTACTAGATATTGTTCATCTTAGACAATGACCAACTAGACAATGTTCATCCAAGGCAATGATGTGCTAAACATTGTTCATCTTAGACAATGACCTACTAGATATAGTTCATCCTAGGCAATGACCAACTAGACAATGACCAACTAGACAATGTTCATCCAAGGGAATGATGTGCTAAACATTGTTCATCTCAGACAATGATCTACTAGATATTGTTCATCCTAGACAATGACCAACTAGACAATGTTTATCCAAGGCAATGATGTGCTAAACATTGTTCATCTAAGACAATGACCTACTAAATATAGTTCATCCTAGACAATGACCAACTAGACAATGTTCATCCAAGGGAATGATGTGCTAAACATTGTTCATCGCAGACAATGACCTACTAGATATTGTTCATCTTAGAGAATGATCTAGTAGATATTGTTCATCCTAAACAATGACCAACTAGACAATGTTCATCCCAAACAATCTACTAGATATTGTTCATCCTAAACAATGACCAACTAGACAATGTTCATCCCAGACAATGACCTGCTAGATATTGTTCATCTTAGACAATGATCTACTAGATATTGTTCATCCTAAACAATGACCAACTAGACAATGTTCATCCCAGACAATGACCAACTAGATATTGTTCATCTTAGACAATGATCTACTAGATATTGTTCATCCTAAACAATGACCAACTAGACAATGTTCATCCCAGACAATGACCTGCTAGATATTGTTCATCTTAGACAATGATCTACTAGATATTGTTCATCCTAAACAATGACCAACTAGACAATGTTCATCCCAGACAATGACCAACTAGATATTGTTCATCTTAGACAATGATCTACTAGATATTGTTCATCCTAAACAATGACCAACTTGACAATGTTCATCCCAGACAATGACCCACTAGATATTGTTCATCTTAGACAATGACCAACTAGACAATGTTCATCCAAGTGAATGATGTGCTAAACATTGTTCATCTTAGACAATGATCTACTAGATATTGTTCAATCTAAACAATGACCATCTTGACAATGTTCATCCCAGACAATGACCTACTAGATATTGTTCAATCTAAACAATGACCAACTTGACAATGTTCATCCCAGACAATGACCTACTAGATATTGTTCAATCTAAACAATGACCAACTTGACAATGTTCAACCCAAACAATGACCCACTAGATATTGTTCATCTTAGACAATGATCTACTAGATATTGTTTATCCTAGACAATGACCAACTTGACAACGTCCATCACAGACAATGACCAACTGATGCCCATTACAGAAAATCAACTAACAAACAATGCACTGTGAACCTTCCAGAAGTTACATCAGTATAGTGAGTTGGCTTTTACACCGCTTTAAGCAATATTCCAGTAATATCAAAGCAGGGGACACCAGAAATGATCTTCACACAATGTACACATGTGGGGAATCGAACCCGACCTTTGGCGTGACGGGCGAACGCTTTAACCACTTGGCTACTACACCACCTCTTCGTATTGTATAAGTGTCACCAAGTACATCTGTCGACTTACCACATGTCACCGTTGTTGATCAACTTGCTGTTGGGGGCTCCAGCATGGCCGTAATGGAGAATTGATCCATTGTCACCACTGCCAAAATATAGCAATCAGTGATCAACACCATGGAAATAACATAATAATAATCATCTTAGCCATCTAGTTGTGTTACAGATGATTAACTGATGTGTTGGGAGTCTAAATTCTACAAAATTCCATTTAAATCAATAACATCCCACAATCATGTGGGTCACTATTTTTTAGGTTCTTCTGTAACAACACACTCAAAGATATTCAATCTTATCATATTCTTGTGCAAATAGTCCAATTCCAACCAGACAATACAGTGATTGTCATCAATATCATAATTAATTTCATACCCCCAGCAATATTCCAGCTGCATGGAAGCAGTCTGTATATAATCAAGTCTGGACTTGATGATCCAGTGATTGATATCATGAGCATCAAAGGATGCAATGACATGCAACAACAATTATGAAACCACCTGGTTCCTTTCACAAACATCATAGGTTACTGGGAATTAATTCTAACCCAGAGCACTACAGGGATCATCATGTTGCCATGGAAACAAATCATCACACTTTTACCATCACGTTTCCTATAAAAAAAACAAAGCATACCAAGGTACCATGGTTTAAACCTATACACGATTAGCATCCAATAATATACTGACCAGCAAAAGAAACGCAATTCAAGAAATCAAAACAATCGTGTGAAAGTATCAAATCCAAACTCATGCTGAAGAAGCACAATTTTCATGAATTCTGAGTTGCGTTTTTATTCCTGGTCAGTATATGTACACAGTTAATTCACGCTGAAAGTAATTTGGTTTCAACAGTTCAACAACACTATTTCAACAGAGAAGTTGACTTCACCAACCTTCCACAGATACAGGTATAGGACATATTCCTGAGTCCACCGTTGAAATGAACATAGTGACAGAACACACTGAAACAAACGTAAGTCAGTCTGACTACGAGACTTTAAACTAACCTTCCGCAGACACAGGTATACGACAAATTCCTCAGTCCACCGTTGAAGGAAAGATAGTTATGGAACAGACTGAAAAATAGCAAGACTTTCACATACTGGTGGGGGCGATATCAATCTTTAGGGGCAAATTTAAGGGGATTGATATACTGAAGGATTAATATTGTGAATGATTGACGTTTTGAATGATGATTGCATGAATGACTTTTGGCCCATGTCTAAGAAGATTTGTAGAAATAAGTCAGAAATAAGAAGATTGAGTATGGTTTTACACATCTCTTAGTAGAATTTTATTGTACTCATCTGGGGAATTGAATCTGGGTTTTTGCAGGGTCACTTTATCCACTATGCTACCCAATTGCCCCAAGAAAAATACAGTTTCCATTAAGAAGCCCCTTGACCAGAGGTCAGTATGTGTAAAGCTCAGAGTATTACGTCGGACACTTTAAAATTAAATTCTGGAATCATGTCATACACTGTTTCAGGGAATAATTGAGAGGTTGTTCTATGGCATTGATGTTGATAATTACAGAAATCTTCTTCAAAAGTGTGAAGTACATTTAAACATTTAAAATAAAGAAAATGTAAATAATTTTCAAAAATAAGACCTTAAATGATTTCTTGAAAGAACTGAAGGCTGAGGAGGATGCTTTGGGAATAACAAATGAGGATATTAAATTGCTTGAAATGTTGACCTTGTATGAGTTTTTTAAATTTTACAGTCTGTTAACAAACTAATTAAAAATGCATCATCTTTATCATTATGATGTTGACCTCACCTTTCTGCCTGATATTCATACAGTCCAGGCCGCATGCCTTTCATGATCTGAAACATGAGTGAGTGAGAAGACAGAAGTGAGTGAGTGAGTGAGTTTAGTTTTACGCCGCACTCAGCAATATTCCAGCTATATGGCGGCGGTCAGTAAATAATCGAGTCTGGACCAGACAATCCAGTGATCAACAGCATGAGCATCGATCTGCGCAATTGGGAACCGATGACATGTGTCAACCAAGTCAACAAAACTGACCACCCGATCCCGTTAGTCGCCTCTTACGACAAGATAGTCGCCTTTTTATGGCAAGCACATGGGTTGCTGAAGACCTATTCTACCCCGGATCTTCACGGGTCGAGAAGACAGAAGACCTGGGTTCAATTCCCCACATAAGTACAATGTGTGAAGCCCATTTCTGGTGTAGTTTTACAGCACTTTTAGCGATATTAATGCATCATCACAGCAGGGCACACCAGAAATGGGCTTCACACATTGTACTTCTGTGGGGAATTGAACCCAGGTCTTCTGTGTGATGAGCAAACACCCAAACCACTAAGCTACCCCACTGACAATATATCACGAATCTAACCATGGATGAAGTTTGTTTGAGTAATCGAGCTACACATTAATGCCCTACTGATGAAGCCTACCTCCTTGTGTCCCTCGCTGCTGATTCTGTTCACGTATCTCAGAACATTAAGTTCAAGGTCAGTCTTGAACACTCGGCTGAAGCAGAAATAACAAGTTTATTTTGCATGATGAATCACAATGAGTCAAGTCACATCTAAATCTCTTCAGTTGGGCCTTGGGGTATTATACAATATATAATCATGAGGTATTTTTGAGTGAGAGTGAGTTTAGTTTTACGCCGCACTCAGCAATATTCCAGCTATATGGCGGCGGTCTGTTAATAATCGAGTCTGGACCAGACAATCCAGTGATCAACAGCATGAGCATCGACCTGCGCAACTGGGAACCGATGGCATGTGTCAACCAAGCACTGAATCTGACCCCCTGATTCCGTTAGTCGCCTCTTACGACAAGCATGGGTTACTGCAGGCTCATTCTAACCCGCACCTTCATGGGTCAGGTATTTTTGAGGGCTTGTCTGATGTAAGAACCAATCATGATCAAATTACGAGGTGATGTGAAATGGGGCTAACATCGCATTCAAGATTGTGCCTCTTTTAAAGAGACGCACATGCATGAACACATGCGTGGCCTCGTGTACTACTATGACATGACTGATTCTTAATCTGCAAGCCTACAGTGATAATACCCTGCCACATGACAGACATGCCCCTACAGACACAGTAAACTGACTCAAAGTTGACCTGTCCTCACAACTCCTCGATGGCAGACCACCTCCGTGGTGTAGTGGTTAGAGCGTCCGCCCGGAGAGCGGAAGGTCGCGGGTTCGATCCCCGACCGTGTCATACCAAAAGACGTTAAAGTATGGTACTTGTTGGTCCCTGCCTGGCGCTAGGCATTAATGGGTACAACAAGGAGTGGTCGGCTCGGAGTCAGCATAATGTGTCTGAGTGGGGTATTCATGCTTCACTGCGGCATGGTATCTCAGTGGGCTAGCACTACAAAACCAGCTTAAGTCTGGGCTAGTACAAGCAGCCGCACATACACATACACACGCATGGACGTCGTCATATGAGCGAAATAATCTCAAGCACGATGTAAAACCCAATTTCACCTCACCTCACCTCACCTCGATGGCAAGTTCCAGGCAGGGTAACAATAGGTACCATCTTTTAACATCGTTATGACAAAGCCAGGGTCCCAATCCACAAAGCATTCGTAATGATACGACTGATCGCAACTCTGTGCTACATCATTGATTTACGAATGATGTGATGCTATGACCACTTAGTGGATAGGATCCCCAGAATCTAACCACAGGCATAAACATAATCATATGAAAGCCTTTCTTTCTTTACTTGTAGATATAGAGAATTGAATAAAAAACATGGATATGAAGACAATGAATCTGTTATTTCTTACCATTCTGTGATGACTGGATGAAGAAGCTTATTGTCCACTTTGAATCTGTGAACAAAATGGAAGCAAATTGATCAAGAATAATGTACTGTGTTCAGGGCTACGCTATTACACATAACACTCCAGAATTGATACATCAGATATATCTTATCCCAATTCATCTGCCAGGAAAGACCCACATAAATCTAATAATATCCAAGAATTTTCCTCTTTGTCACTTATTTTAAGCCTCAGTCCAAGAGCAAGCAGCAGAATGTATGAGTGAAATTTGTCTATACTGCTAATCACAATATTCCAGCATTATGAAGACAGGGTACACTTAAAATGGGTTTGAGTGTGAGATGGGTAGGTCGAGTGTGAGATGGGTAGGTCGAGTGTGGGATGGGTAGGTCGAGTGTGAGGTGGGTAGGTCGAGTGTGAGATGGGTAGGTCGAGTGCGAGATGGGTGAGTTAAGCAATTCACATTGACACAATTCCAGCCAGATTGCGACTGAACTGAATGATATCGAGAAAAGAACTCACTCTCCTATTCCGTCAAATGCTGCCTCTTGACTGTATTTGCCGCTGTCAGTATTCAGTCCGTGCTGAAATTTGTAGATATGTATCATTAATGCTGAATTGTAAACTGAATGTGAGTGTGAAATCTGATTGGATGAAAAATGTTAACTGGAAATGTGTCAGAAGTTTCATTGCATTTTCATTGCAGTTTCATTGATAATTATTTTATAATTTTCACATTCACAAACTTGAAAAATGTGCAATTTTGGCATGTTTGGCATGTTGTTACCTGATGATCAAAATATTCCGTCCAATATATATTCAATTCTTAATACTTGGCCAATTATCTAGGACAGTTTCACTTCTCACGTGATATAAATTTCTTCTTCTCTCCAACTTTGCACAGAAATGTGTCACACAAACTGTGATTGGACAAGACCCGTGAAGATCCGGGGTAGAATAGGTCTTCAGCAACCCATGTGCTTGCCATAAAAAGCGACTATGCTTGTCGTAAGAGGCGACTAACAGGATCGGGTGGTCAGTTTCGCTGACTTGGTTGACACATGTCATCGGTTCCCAATTGCGCAGATTGATGCTCATGCTGTTGATCACTGGATTGTCTGGTTCAGACTCGATTATTTACAGACAGCCGCCATATAGCTGGGATATTGCTGAGTGCGGTGTAAAACTAAACTCACTCACTTGATTGGACAGCTATTTTAAGCATCGTGTCATTCAACATATTCAAGCAGGATTAAAAGCCATGGTGGCAAGTGCATTTGTCTGAATAAATAGGAGACACAGATATTGGATAATTATGCATGACTCTAATTTGCTAGAATTCTGTTATTACACAACGTTACATGTTCTCCAGAAAAAGACAGACAACACAATTGGTTTAACTACCAACACAAGAGGGTACAATACCTTTAACAATGAGATAAGCTTAACTAAAGCTTATAACACAACTCTGTGTTCTGGGAACCACTCAACTGGTGGGTTAATCAGGTTTGTCGCTCTATTTAAAGGCACAATGTCACACCACATTTCTCAAAATATGCATAAGGCATTTCTCTCAGGCCTCAGGGAAGCTACAATATAAAAATTCCAAAAATAATTATGTATTTAGATTACAATATTAAATTAAAAAGTTTGAATGAATTAATGCAACATTGCATTAAATCGACTCTGGCGCCCTCTACCGGCGGAACATTATCTCAAGTGAACCCCATAGAGTGGATTGCTCTTTACAAATATCCTATAACTCAACTTGTTGGCAAACACTGACAACACTGTGTGCGACAGTTTTCGATGTACGGAGCAATCGTTTACATTCCATACATGGCAAGGGTTTATCTGTTTGGAAACTGTTCGCCTCAAAGTTCAAGTTATCGAGTTCAGGCAAGTCGTAAGGAATAATAAGTCTTTTATTGCATCAATAGGAAGCTAAAGTGAGTGCATATGCCCCAGAGATGCCAACCCTGAATCAAATGAAAGCGGAATCATGCCTTGCTAGTTCCCGAGCCCTGAAGGTGCAAGTTGGGGGTGAGCATGAGAGGGGCGGAGCAATGGTGCTATGGGGCCTCCCCCATGAAAATCTCTAGATTTAGCCTGGAAATATGCAATTTCTGGGCATACTTAACCAGATAATACATACCTCAAACGAAACAAATTTAAATGGCTATTTACTAAAATTCATTCAAACATTCTAAATTTATAAACATATTTTTATTTTCTAACAAACTGAGTGTTTTATAGACTAATCAGAGAGTGGATTTTGCTGGGCAACAGATAAGGGGCGTACAGGCATAATGTACACCTAAAAATCTATTAAGTACGACATAATATAAGATTTGAAGTGTATCATCTACGCACATAAATACCTTTGTATATCTAACATATATGAAGTTTAATAGCTGAAAAGTTGTTTAACATTATAAATAACAAGTGTATGCCACTGATATGGCAATATCCCCTGCCGCTAATGATGGGAATATTGATATGTACTACTTTTAATTTTTTGGTCACATACAAGATGTTGCAAATGACTGGTGTCTGTATAATCACCCAATGTAGGCTGTCCACATACTTGAAAACATTCGGTGCAATGTTTCAGGAGATATCGCGATTAAATAAGTTTGAAAAGCGGTCAAAGTGTCGTGGTGACCTTGAAGATAAACTGGTGTCTGCGTAATACCCCAATGTAGGCTGTCACCAAACTCAAAAAACATTGGGTACAACAGTCCATGAGATATCGTGTTAACAAGAGATAGAAAAGTGGTCAGTGTCATGGTGACCTTGAAAATTAGGTCAAGGTCACCCAAATCGACTGGTGTTTGCGTAATCCCCCAATGTAGGCTGTCACCAAATTTGAAGACATTGGGTACAACAGTTCATGAGATATCACGTTAAAAAAAAATTGGGACGTAAGTACAGACGGACGGACAGACGCCGCTGAATACATAGTCCCACATTCCGCATTGCGGCGGGGGACAACAAACCACATCACCAACTCGCTCACACAAAAACATGTCAGTACTCCTTCAAAATTCTCAGCACACCTCCACTTGCAATATGAGGTGTAAGTACACCCACACACCCAATGGTTATCTGGAGCCCTGTTTTGTATTTGAAAATCGGAGAAACTCCTACAAAATTGGGAGTGGTTGGCATCTCTGATGCCCCCATTATATAAAATAAAGGCCAAAATATTGTGCCTTTAAATATACACACAGTGAAAATCAGTTTTGTATATCAAGAAAGATCCCAATTAAAAGTGGGGAATTATAACGCTGAAACTGTTAAGTTGGGTCTTTCTGCTTACTTTTATCCTATTTCATCTTCATTAAACACCGAAGCATCTCACTTACCAGAGTTAATATTACAGAGGGATTCTTTTCCTTCAGCACCTTGGCAATCTGAAAACATGATACAGATATGATCATGATAAACGTTACAAAAACACACTGGGCCATATTGATTCAAGTAAGTACTAAATTTTGCTCTGAACAATATTTTATTAACAACATGGAAAATGTTTGCAATATACCAAGTGTCCTAGGTGAGCTTTGTAAACAAGTCCTTATCATTAATATATCTAGCTATCAATACTATACACCCTTGGCAGGCAAACTTGGGAAAACATTGTTCATTTTTTTAATACAAATAACAACAGCATTTAAAATTGCCTTCAATAAAGCAAAGACATTACTGGTCCTGTTTTCAGTCACCTCTACAAGACATATCATTAGTTATAAATACATTACGTGAATTGGGAAAAATTTCCATTTGGGAATTTTCAATGGCATTGGTTGCAGACTTACATCTGTCTATGGTCACTGGAGCATGTCTAGATAGATCACTGCTTGTGCTACTAAATCTTACTTAAGCGTGTCAAATGGGTTTAGTGAAGCTTTTGTACAAGTTTCCCGTTATCAATATATCATGGCATCTGCCTAACATGGGGGGGGAACACCTGGAAGGGATACAGGCTTTGCTGTTTATGACTTTGGTGAAACTCACCATTTGTAAGCAGTGTGCGAAATAGCCCCCTGGCCCGCTAGCCCGTGGCTAGTATAAATCCAGTTGCGCCAGTAAATTTCCACAGCCACTGGCCCGACTGGCTAGTGAATATTCATGGGGTCATTTTGTAAATATATCACTCTCTCTGACTTGTTAAGTTATAATACACTTTCAAATCATGCAAGATTATGGCCTGATAAAAATGCATCATATTAGCAGCTTAATGAAGAAACCCATGTGATGCCGACAATATCTTAGACCCATATATTTTTGTAATCTTTTGCTTAGTTTCTACATTCACATTTGTTGGCTAGTGAATTATTTTGTGGGCTTGTAGCTTTCAGGCATAGCTAAAATTTGGAAACTATTTCTCACACTGTAAGATGTCGACAAACCTCGGAAACATGGCTCAAACAGACAATCATTTGTTTCTGTCATACCCAAGGGAAGTAACTCTGCACTGCAAAATACAGCACGTTAGATATATGGGCCATCGGTGCTCCCAAATCTTATAAAATACCAGAAATATCTGTGTAAAGCTTGAGCAGATTCCACATAAACATGGCAGAGAGGAGTGGAAAAAACAAATGAGGCAAATACAAACATGACATACATCTGGTACAAAATGGACCTCATCTACACCGTAACGCACACGGAAATCTTCACATGTGAGCAATCTGTGACAAGAAAGACAGCAATGAATCATACAGATTTCTGAGTGAAACAAAACCATGTCATAACTGCATGAGAAAGGGTCAGTATAAAGAACATAATGAAATTGCACCATGGGCATGATGACACAATAGTGAGTGAGTGAGTTTAGTTTTACGCCGCACTCAGCAATATTCCAGCTATATGGCGGCGGTCTGTAAATAATCGAGTCTGCACCAAAAAAATCCTGTGATCAACGGCATGAACATCGATCTGCGTAATTGGGAACAGATGACATGTGTTAACCAAGCCAAGCGAGCCTGACCACCCGATCCCGTTAGTCGCCTCTTACGACCTGCACGGGTTACTAAAGGTTCATTCTAACCCGGACCTTCACGGGTTGATGACACAATAACCTAGGTGCATCAGACAAAACCAGGTTGTACCCTGGTCCTATAGATTCATCAGTTGAAACATAGATCCATAAACTAGTCTACATAAGTAGAATTTCAGATCTCAGATGTCATGAATGCACATAACACAGGGATTATTAATGTAGAATGGTAAATTTAACTAAATGTTTTCATTTTCTTCTTGCACTTGGTGCATGCAGACATTAATATTAGATTGCATCTTCAGCAACAGGGCCTAGATTTTCGAAGCTCTCTTAGCGTTAAGATAGTCATAAGTGCCATACAGTAACATTAACTTACGACTATCTTAGCACTAAGAGAGCTTCGAAAATCTAGGCCCAGGTTATTTCTCAAAGAAAGCTTCTGATAACCAAAGTCAATGATGATTTACAACTAAATACCAAATTCGAAACAAAATCTAGAGCCCCGTATTTTGATTGAAGATTTAGTGGGACTTGCATATCAAACCGACTGTTGTATCTAATATTAACAGTATCGTTATAGCTATTGGAATCTCACACTTGCCATGTTATTGTTGTTCAAGTTACTAGAAGTTACAGGTTAAGCTACTGTCTCTAAAACACCGCATGAATGGTAGACAAAAACTGGTACAATACAAAATTGAGAATGCTAAAAGATTTTCTTACTTGCCCATCCAGACACCATAAGAGGCTGGGAGTTGGGGAGCAAAGAGAATGGTCCTTCCAGTTGACACCTCCACAGCCCCATAGAAATCTGGTTCCTCCACGCCAAACGCCCAGTGGAAGTAAGACTCCTGGAATCAGAGAGGGTGTGAGTCAGTGTGTTGATATCATTTTTGTATCGATAAAGTAAATACCTGTGGGCCTGTTTTTAATTAATCAAATTCTAAATATGAGCAAGGCTATTCCATTAAATGTTTCAAATTGAATTTTCTGCACTTTTATTGTCAAACTGTGTTAACTGTGTTCATCTTAACAATGAACATTTCTATGGCAGTGAAATATCAGTATTGATTTGGTAAATTAGTACTGTATATGACCGTCTATAAGCCGAATTTTGAGGACCAAAATAAGCAGTCTGTAGAAGGGGGTCGTCCTATCCATGGGTTACGCTTTCGTCAAACTTTTTCCAGGGGTAAGAAAACAACATCGTATCACACTTCGTGTGAACAAACAACAGAAGACGACTTTGTCAGTAGAGACGTCAAATTTGCAATTAAACATCCCAGACAAGATTATTTACCTTTTAAGTTCTAAGTTGTTTTTGCTGGGCATTGTATCATTTGCAGGGATTAAGATTACCGTGTGTATCTGAGCCGGAAATAGCAATCAGCTGTGCACATGTTTCCCGGCGATCAAGTTCAAACATGCACAATAATATAACGGGACGAATTCTGATGCAGTCATCAGTAAAATATAATACAGAATACATGTACTATTATTTAACCCAAAGAAATATATCCTAGCATTGCGTAATTTTAATTACAGTTTTTGCTCTTTAAATTAATTAAGATTAAGATTACCGTGTGTATTTGAGCCGGAAATAGCAATCAGCAGTGAACAAGTTCAAACATGCACAATAATATAATAGTCCGCTTATATGGCGCTCACATCCATTCACATTGCCTGCTCATGGTGCTACGTACATTACTATCCCTGGTCATAGGACGCTATCGTACTTTCCGATACTCTTTCAACTCCCTGGGGATAATACATCCATGCCGCCTGTTAGGCGCAATGAACTTAGCACTCGCATTGCCAGCACATCCTTATGGGTACCTATTTTACAGCTGGGTGAACTGAGACAATGTGGATCTAAGTATCTTGTCCAAGGATACTACACAAATGTGTCCAACTCGAGACACGAAATTTGGTGACACCAGAAATGGGCTTCACAGATTATACCCATGTGGGAAATCGAACCAGAGTCTTTGGCATGACGAGTCTATGCTTTAACTACTAGACTACCCCGCCGCCCCACACAATTTAAGTCATACATTAGACAATATAGTTTCACTTTTTCCACCATTTAAGCCATACATTAAACCATAAAGTTCCACGTTACACCATTTAAGCCATACATTAAACCATAATGTTCCACGTTACACTATTTAAGCTGTACATTAACCCACAGGGTTCCACGTTACACCATTTAAGCTGTACATTAAACCATAAAGTTCCACATTACACCATTTAAGCCGTACACTAAACCATAAAGTTCCACGTTACACCATTTAAGCTGTACATTAAACCATAAAGTTCCACGTTACACCATTTAAGCTGTACATTAAACCATAAAGTTCCACGTTACACTATTTAAGCTGTACACTAAACCATAAAGTTCCACATTACACTATTTAAGCTGTACACTAAACCATAAAGTTCCACGTTACACCATTTAAGCTGTACACTAAACCATAAAGTTCCACGTTACACCATTTACATTAAACCATAAAGTTCCACGTTACACTATTTAAGCTGTACACTAAACCATAAAGTTCCACGTTACACTATTTAAGCTGTACACTAAACCATAAAGTTCCACGTTACACCATTTAAACTGTACATTAAACCATAAAGTTCCACGTTACACCATTTAAGCTGTACATTAAACCATAAAGTTCCACGTGACACCATTTACATTAAACCATGAAGTTCCACGTTACACTATTGAAGCTGTACACTAAACCATAAAGTTCCACGTTACACCATTTAAGCTGTACATTAAACCATAAAGTTCCACGTTACACCATTTACATTAAACCATAAAGTTCCACATTACACTATTTAAGCTGTACACTAAACCATAAAGTTCCACGTTACACTATTTAAGCTGTACATTAAACCATAAATTTCCACGTTACACCATTTAAGCTGTACATTAAACCATAAAGTTCCACGTTACACCATTTAAGCTGTACATTAAACAATAACGTTCCACTTTACACCATTTAAGCCATACATTAAACCATAAATCTCCACGTTACACCATTTAAGCTGTACATTAAACCATAAAGTTCCACGTTACACCATTTAAGCTGTACATTAAAACATAAAGTTCCACGTTACACCATTTAAGCTGTACATTAAACAATAACGTTCCACTTTACACCATTTAAGCCATACATTAAACCATAAAGTTCCACGTTACACTATTTAAGCTGTACATTAAACCATAATGTTCCATGTTACACCATTTAAGCCATACATTAAACCATAAAGTTCCACGTTACACCATTTAAGCTGTACACTAAACCATAAAGTTCCACGTTACACTATTTAAGCTGTACATTAAACCACAGGGTTCCACGTTACACTATTTAAGCTGTACATTAAACCATAAAGTTCCACGTTACACTATTTAAGCTGTACATTAAACCACAGGGTTTCACGTTACACCATTTAAGCCATACATTAAACCATAAAGTTCCACGTTACACCATTTAAGCCATACATTAAACCATAAAGTTCCACGTTACACCATTTAAGCCATACATTAAACCATAAAGTTCCACGTTACACCATTTAAGCCATACACTAAACCATAAAGTTCCACGTTACACCATTTAAGCCATACATTAAACCATAAAGTTCCACGTTACACTATTTAAGCTGTACATTAAACCATAAAGTTCCACGTTACACTATTTAAGCTGTACATTAAACCATAAAGTTCCATGTTACACCATTTAAGCCATACATTAAACCATAAAGTTCCACGTTACACCATTTAAGCTGTACATTAAACCATAAAGTTCCACGTTACACCATTTAAGCTGTACATTAAAACATAAAGTTCCACGTTACACCATTTAAGCTGTACATTAAACCATAAAGTTCCACGTTACACCATTTAAGCTGTACATTAAACCATAAAGTTCCACGTTACACCATTTAAGCTGTACATTAAAACATAAAGTTCCACGTTACACCATTTAAGCTGTACATTAAACCATAAAGTTCCACGTTACACCATTTAAACTGTACATTAAACCATAAAGTTCCACGTTACACCATTTAAGCTGTACATTAAAACATAATGTTCTACGTTACACTATTTAAGCTGTACATTAAACCATAAAGTTCTATGTTACACTATTTAAGCTGTACATTAAACCATAAAGTTCCACGTTACACTATTTAAGCTGTACATTAAACCATAAAGTTCCCTGTTACACCATTTAAGCTGTACATTAAACCATAAAGTTCCACGTTACACCATTTAAGCCATACATTAAACCACAGGGTTCCCTGTTACACTATTTAAGCTGTACATTAAACCATAAAGTTCCATGTTACACCATTTAAGCTGTACACTAAACCATAAAGTTCCACATTACACCATTTAAGCTGTACACTAAACCATAAAGTTCCACATTACACCATTTAAGCCATACATTAAACCATAAAGTTCCACGTTACACCATTTAAGCTGTACATTAGACAGTATAGTTTCACACGTAACACCATTTAAGCTGTGCATTAAATCATATAGTTTGGCGTGTTACATCACATGATAGACCATTGAACTCAAATGTTATGTTAGATCATTTAATTCACAGGTCAGGGTTCGAAATACAGTGGAAACCTGATAAGTAAAATTTCACGGGACTCGCAAAAATTGTTTACTTATCAGGTATTTTACTTATCCAAACTTATTAAAACCTGCAAATGACAACCATATGCATGTATAATATATGTATGCATATGTAACAATGAACAACTTATCAGGGCTGGCCTCCAGTTGTCAGTGTATTGTCAACTGCATGACGCCAGCGAGCTGTAAATAGCTTGTTTGACTGGAGACTGACACGACTGCCCCTCATGTCGGACTATGTGGTGATCGCTAATTTAGTTATCTAGTCTCTTTTGTTAAGTAATTTACTTCCAGGGACCGTGAGAAGATGTTTAGTTCAGCGGTATTGTTTATTTATCCGAGTTTAGTTAACCAGACTCTAATAGTGATAATTAATGAAGAAATTTGCCGGGACCAAAGAAAAGTGTTTACTTGTCAGGTCTGTTTAGTTAAGCGGTCTTTACTTAGGCGGTTTCCACTGTTATTATTAGACTGTTGCACTGTACACATATTAGACAACGCTTAGTCTCTGAATATATATAACTTTGATAGCAACAATCATTGTTTGAAAACTGAAAAGGAGCTCTAGTGAGATGGGAGATCCTTAACCTGAGGAAATCTAGACTTGTGTCATTTAGGGCTCAATTTGGAGAAAGGGCTGGGCAGAAGGTAAAATAACATGGTACAGGGACTGTGACACAGATTGTAGTATTTGTACGCCTACCTGTCTGAAGATGGGTTCATTGTCAGAGCAGTATCTAGTGGTCGACTCTCCACCTTGAAGCAGGACGTAGGCACCGTCAGCACGGTCAGTGACGTCCTTGTTCTGTTTCAGCTTTTCTGTCAGCTGTTCACTCAGGCGCCGACAGTTTTCCCTGAACAGTTCCATTGGAACTGACAGGGTGTGAGTCCCCCGGCAGAATGTAGGCCTGGTAACCATGGTAACACAGAATTTCTTTAGTGATGGTGCAGGGGTGGAAATAACTTTAAAATTGCAAGAGTACTCAGGTACAGTAAAATCACTTGCCCTGATAATTTTTCCACTATACCAGCCGATTTTCTTGCTGACTTTTTAAATAAACAACATAATTAACATTGGAAAGTCAACTGGACACCGCTGCAGCGTGATATATAAATGGTAATTGTGCGACAGAAAAAAACACTGGACTGTGATGTTGGGCAATGCAGGGTTGGAATAACCCATTGCCCGACGTCCGAGTCCAGTGTTTTTTTCTGTCAGGCAAATAAATTTGTATATCACTCTGTACCAGTGTCCAGTTTGCAATGAGTTTATGCAAGCTATTTATAGCCCTTCAGTATATGGTCACATGATCATTGTTCCGTACTCACAAATAAAAACTCGTCTCTGCGTACTTGAATTTATTGTTTTCTTCGTTTCCAAACTACAAACTCCGACGAACAACGATGAATCAATGGCGAACGTGAAATTGTGTAGCTTTCACACTTCGAAAAAGACACACAGACAGACTAACATTTTGCCGCGCACTGTTCTGGTCTAAGGGAGATAACTCGTCATATTACCTGCTACAATCATCATAGAGAGCCTCGTTTTGGGGGATATAGAAAAAAACATGGCGTCTACGTAACGCTACATGACATTGTATTTGACCTTGGAATGAATGTTGCAACTTCCATGAAGGAATAAAACATTACACAGTTGACTTTCCAATGTTAATTATGTTGTTTATTTTAAAAAAATCAACAGGAAAACGGCCGGCATAGTGGAAAAATTATCAGGGCAAGTGATTTTACATGTGCCACTGTTCCGGAGTACACTAGCAATTTTAAAGTTATTTCCACCCCTGCAATGGGTTATTTCCATCCCTGTGGTGTTTCTAGGATACTGTGTCATTTATGATTTCACTTTTGCAAAAAGAACAGAAATTGAGTTGGACATGAATAGGATGGTCCTTTAGTGTGTGACCAGCATAATGGGTCAAAGGTGAACAGGGCATGAGGTGAATATTATACAGATTATGAATATGATACAGATTATGAATATGATACAGATTATGAATATTGGGCACTGACTACAATCAGAGGTCAGCAGTTGATGTGTTATTCATTATAATCAATGAAACAATATCAAAATAAATTCTTTGACCATGTTGACAGAGACCCGTTAAGGTCAGCAACTCATGCTTGTCGTACAAGTGACTAACAGGATTGGGTGGTCAGGATTGCTGACTTGGTTGACACATGTCATCGTATCCCAATTGCATAGATTGATGCTCATGCTGTTGATCACTGGATTGTCTGGTCCAGACTCGATTATTTACAGGCAGCCGCCATACAGGTGGAATATTGCTGTGTGTGGCGTAAAACTGAACTCACTCACTCACCCATGTTGATAAGAGTTTATTTATCACAACAGTGACATTACCATCAAATTTAATATATAGAATGTTGATTGTTATATCCTACCTGGTTGAATGTATTCCATTTTTCATGTCTTGCTTTGATAATTAACACCAAAAATGAAGTAAAACTACTCCTTTTTGAAGATTTATAAATATTTTATTCTAGTGAGGTGAGGTGAGGTGAGGTGAAATTGGGTTTAATGTCGTGCTTGAGAATATTTCGCTCATATCACGACGTGCATGCATGTGTATGTGTATGTGCGGCTGCTTGTACTAGCCCAGACTTAAACTGGTTTTATAGTGCTAGCCCACTAGATACCATGCCGCAGTGAAGCATGAATACCCCACTCAGACACATTATACTAACTCCGAGCCGACCAGTCCTTGTTGTACCCATTAATGCCGAGCGCCAGGCAGGGACCAACAAGTACCATATTTTAACGTCTTTTGGTATGACACGGCCAGGGATCGAACCCGCGACCATCCGCTCTCCGGGCGGACGCTCTAACCACTACACCATGGAGGCGGTCTTTATTCTAGTGACCACAAATATACAGAATGTATGCAATTCACTGATGACGTGGGGTATTTGTAACAGCCCAATTGCTCATAACCTCAGTCACTGGATTGTCTGGTCCTGATTCCAATTTTTTACAAACCCTTGAAACATACAGCTGAAATTTTGCTTACCACTGCATTAAACAACAAACATGCTCTTAAAATATATCTTTGAGGTACTTATTAGTTGCTATTAGTATTCTTAATCAGTTTCATTGTTTGTTGGTTGGTTTATATACATTTCCAATCAAACCAAACTTTCTCAAACATATTGGGGGGGGAATTATTGAAACAATGCAGTAGTTATGTCTAATCATAGGTTTTGGGACATCATAGGTTTTGGGAAGACAGTGCTTATGCAGACTTTGACAAGCAGTGCAGCATCACTTAGAATTTGTAAATTCTTGCATGATGCCTTGCATTTAGGAAAAAATTATCTTTTATAAGTAAGAGAGATGTTTTACAGTCATTCATGTGATTAGAAAGAAAACATAGAATGTTTGTTAAGTGGTCGAAAACGCATATGAGGATACTAGTTAGACAAGATGATATTATGAATAAAGAAAAACAATTCACCTCAATTATACCAAATTGAATTCGGTGGTTCCAAATATACTAAAAAGTAATTTCTGAAGATTGGTCAGTTAACTTGTGAAATACTGGTATCACAAGAAATAATAAGCTAAAAATGACACAATTTAAACCGCAAGGTCAAATTGTGACATCTGAATAATTAAAGAGCATATTCGATTTATGAGAGTTAATTTTTCTGTCATCAGTGATTGTTCATAGTCAAATAGTTATTTTTTTATTCCTGTAACTGTGTACATGCAGTTGTATTAATCATTTACCATGGACAGCATTTGACAAACAAGGCAACGACAAACTGCTCAAATTACAAAATAGAGCGGAAAACAAATCAGAATCAGTTAAACAAGACAAGGGCAAAAGTGAAAGCAGAGACCATACGTATAGACTATAGAGAGTATGGTCTCTGGTGAAAGTAGTACATTCAATCTCCAGAACCTGTCCTTAATAATAACTTTCAGAAACAGGAACATAGTGTTCACTCATGAAATATTCATGAAACTGACTAATTATCATCTGTCATGTGTTTCCGACGAGAGTCCAAAGGTAAGCAAACGTGTAAATTGTATTGACAAGCCCAAGGCTGTGTTGGCCCAGTTGAGATGTTCTCATGTATGCGATTTCTGTCTAATTTTGTTGTTATGCTTAAGACCATTAATGCAAACGAGATTATTTATTTCCTACTTGCTAAACTATACGCTAACAAAAATGGCATTTATCATATATTCGTGATCTTAATACAAGTATAGACTCACTCTGTTCTTGCTGATGCCATCTCGGTAGGTGTATGTTTTTATCACGCGCCGCTCCCAGCTCCGCACAGCGTTGTGGTGGCATTAGGTTAAAACGGCACATGGCCAAAAAGGCATATATGGGCGTTTATAAAACGGCGCCGAAGTCATTGAGTGAGTTTAGTTTTACGCCGCACTCAGCAATATTCCCGCCATATGGCTAATAATCGAGTCTAGACCAGACAATCCAGTGATCAACAACATGAGCATCGATCTGCGCCATTGGGAACCGATGACACGTGTCAACCTTAGTCAGCGAGTCTGACTGGTGCACCCGATCCCGTTAGTCGAATCTTACGACAAGAATAGGTTACTGAAGGCCAATATTCTAACCCGGACCTTCACGAGTATCTGAAGTTATTGAAACGATACGGCACTAGTGAGTGAGTGAGTTACATAATGCAATCAAATGCATCCAATACAACAGTATGACAGTTCCGATCAAGAAAAGGGCACAATGCAGAATGGAATCGTTCTAGGGTAGGGGAGACCGGGGTCATCTTGTAATTCGATACTAGTCGACCGCTCACCAATTTAATCGGTACTAACTAGTACATTGGCATCTTGGTTTTAAACCTCAGTGTCATTTAAAGTTCACTATCATGTCGTTACAAAGTTATTACGTATCAAATGCAATGACTGCAAGTGTTACAATTGACCCCTAGCACGGGGCAATTGTAACAGGCGGATGGGGCAATTGTAACAAAGAAGGTTCAAATGTAACAATCTGTTTATTTTCCAAATAAAATCAAAAATAAAATATGGAAAGATGTTATCTTGATCAACTGAGGTGGAAATGGATTAACATTAAACCTTTATCACCATCGACATTTAAAATGTTTTGGTTTAAAATCTTGTATTGGTATGCCCAAAATATAATACAAAGACTAACACCAAAATATATGTCACCCGAGGGCTAATACTATCAACATAACACTGAACATGTTCTACTATGATAAAACTAGTAAAGAACTAACATAAAACCTTCATCATAATTTGCTTCATTATCATAACACAAGGAAATTACATGGGGCGAATTGTAACACAGTGTTACAATTGCCCCGATGGCAAGTAGCCATGTTTCATGCCACGTCACTCGTTAACAACTTTGGGCTTCTCAAATATTTCTACTTCAAAATATGTCGTAATACCTCAATTTTACACTTGTTAATTAATTTCATGCCAAGCAACATTTACTGCATTAAGAACCATTTATTACGTTTTGTGAACATTTTACTTTCCTATGTGAAAAACGATTCTTCGTCAACTGTATCTCGCCATGAGCGAGCAGCTGAAAAACGGCTGGATGTGTACCGTAGGAAAGTAAAGGGAAATAACTCTACTCACCTACACTATGCTTGAGCGAAAACGTTTAGAGTAATCGCCCTTGTTACAATTGCCCCGTGTTACAATTGACCCCGGTCTCCCTACGTTTCTGTATTCTGATTTTGGCTATGGTACGTTTCTGTGTATAAAGAATGAGTGAGTGTGTTTAGTTTTATTAAAGGTCACATGCAACGTAAAACACAACTTTGCAGATTCTGATACCTTTCGGTATGGACTTACCGAAACAAATCGTCAAAAATGCAAATTCAACTTATAAAGTTGAAAAATAACGCGATGAAAAAACCGCGCGAAATCGGAGTTCAAACGTTTCACTAATTTTCCCCAGACTTTTCTGGGGAAAACGGGTTTCAACAGCTGGGCTGCGCTTATAGCACGTGCGCAGTGAAGTAGGTTCGCGCAGCTTGGAAGCGGTTGTCCGGTGAATACTCGGTGAAGGCTTTGGTGTGAGCTATTTTTCTAATGTTTTGTTGATATCTCACAGGCGCGAGCTTTTTATATGTTATGACAGTAAATTAACTGTTTATATAATTTCATTTGTCTATTTCACCACACGTTCTTCTTACCGAGTCACTTTCTCAGTTCGATACTTAAAAGCAATGCCATTATTTAGCGTTGACAGAATTTCCAACTGTGATATAGATATGTCGTTGTCACAGACTAAACTCAATGTCTTGTTTTATTGACACCTGTGTGTCTGCCTGCCTGTCTGCTAATGACAATATTCAATACACAGCTGCTATCACTGACCACATGCAATTTGAACTTAACACCAATCAGGCTATACACCATAAACAAAATGCATTGATTTATGGCCCGAGTTCGGTCTCTGTCACATTATGTAATTACACAGACAGGCAGGTGTGATACTTGAACACATGACATGTTATGATGTCTGTTGATTGCAAAATGTTATACACAAAAAATGAGCATGTATTTACAAAACCCAACATCTCTATATATACACACACACAATGACCCGTGAGGGCATCTGCAAATGAACCAGCCGTTACACTTGAGTGCACACCCACCCGCTCTGACTGGGTTCGGTATCCCGGCTGCTTCGTTTCTTGGGAAGTAAACCGAAGTACACAATATTGCACTTTTGATTTGCGATTGTACGCTTATAATTTTGTTTATATGTTTTTTCATAACCAGCAATGTATATTATATGTCATGAATAAGTGATAATTGTGTTTTAATTATGTTTGATTTTTTGGTTTGGAGACAGGTCACATCTAAGACGATCGCCAACTGCTATCGGATGGGAGGCTTTGTCCTTCCTGAGCGAGATGAAGATTCGTCAGATGATGAGACAGACAACATGGTTCTTTCCGACCTCAGAGTTATGTGGAATGAACTGTCAGATAAAGCAGAGGAAATCCCGGCAGATGTCACGTTGGACAACTTCATCAATGCTGACAATCAAGTTGTTACAGCCGAACGCCCTACTGAAGACGAGATTGTGACGTCAGTAGCCCAGCAGTTTGCCACGCCCACTGTCACATCCGCTCCCAACTCTGATAGTGAAGATGATGAACCTCGCCCGAAGCCATCCTTTGCTGAGGCCAATGACAAACTTAAGTTGACAAAATGAAGTCTGCAAGACGTGGTGTGCAGAGCAAAATTGTGGACTTTGTTAAACGTAATTCAGTTATATACATGTATTGTTGAGATTGTTGTGATTGTTAAACATGTTCTAGCTAATGTCTGTGAATGATAAATTCAGAATTTTAATGTTATGTCAATGTACAAGAAATGTGCTGTCAACTCTTTTTTTTATTATTCAAGAAAAAGTTATATTGGTGTTTTTACATCATATTAATCAGTGGTTCATCTGGTTAAGATATGATGTTTAACTATACCTGTAAAGATCCGTTGAAGAGTTTATCTTTAATCCATGCTTGTCGTAAGAGGCGATTAACGTCGTAAGTGCCACACATTAACATTAACTTACGACTATCTTAGCGCTAAGAGAGCTTCGAAAATCTAGGCCCTGGTGACTTGTTTGAGGCATATCATTAGATCGATGGTCATAATGTCAACCGCGCATTATTTACAGATAGCCGTCATCATGGCGTCATGTGGTTGGAATATTGCCGAGGGGGCTGCCTTAGTCAGGTAAAAGACTGATAAACAGAAGACCGCACGTGTTCATAACAAACATGCATAACATTTAAACTTTATCATCTCAACAACATATGTAAACAATAAACAGCACACAGACATGATTCCATTACAACCGTTTTGACCCAGTGCCGTTTTAGGTTGTCATCACGTTTTGAGTTCGGGAGTGTTTACATGTTTGCCAAAAGGGGTTGTATATACGACCTACAATTTGGACTATGGCTTACTTTTGTGTTTATGTTGGCCTAGTTTTGTATACTTCCGGCACAGCAACTCGGTCTTTGGCGATTTGATAAAAACCATCAAATGCATCACCATGGGAAGCATGTGTATATGCCTCCTACACACATCAGAAATATGGAAAAAAGCTTTTGATATTTGTGAAACCTTTAAAATAAGATATATTCATTGACGTGTGCGTAATTCTCCGGTTTTCGATCATGTCACCGTATTTCTGTGATGAACCTTTACTCATTATATAGTAGGGGGTGTGGATACTGAACCGGGGCCTAGTTGATCGATTTTCTGACCCGCGGTGGGGGCCTATGCATCAAGACGCTCTTTCTTGGTGTATATATAGCTTTATCATCCGAAACTGTGTTGCACAGGAGATATGGCTTGTGTGAGATCAAACGATATCTCCTAGGAGATATCGTTTTGACAGTAGATTTTGTACAATACCCTGACAATACTATGACGTCATGAGCATGATGACGTCACAATGCTATGACATCGCTGCACTGCAAGTCTAATGGCAGAACGGTGGTCAGAGATTCACTTTTTTCAATGAAAACTAATGAAGAGTGATTTTTGATGATAAATAGAATATCACCCTTGTGTCTTCTGATATCAAATATATCAACCACTCGTTGATAAAAGTAAAAATATTTGTAACTTTATCAACTCGTGGCGATATATTTGATATCAAAAGACACTCGGGTGAGATTCTCTATTCTCCGCGAGTACCGTACGCCCTTATTACGCATGATCAACAAGTTGATTTTCCAATTATAATTTATATGGAGAATATCATATTTTTACTTTAATTCCTTGAGGTTTGAAACAGCCGTTTATTACCAACGACATGTGACCTTTTGAACTACTTTCTCAGTCGCCTCTTTCGACAAGCTTGTGCTGCTGGGAAGGCAAGCCCAGAATACCCAGTTCGTTATGTGATAAGTGTCACTACACCGGGTGCGATACGAATCGACCGTCAGAATTATCTGTTAGTGTACATCAAATATGACTGACCAAGATAAATAGCGTACCGCGGCAGGGCGGTGAGGTAGTCAAGTGGTTAAAGCGTTCGCTCGGGACGCCGATGAACCGGGTTCGGTTCCTATCAAGGGTCCAGTGTGATTAGTTTTGGTGGGGTTGTTTTTTCGTTTAACGACACAATCAGCAATATTCCAGCTTAATATGACGGCGGTTAAGTAAATAATCGAGTCTGGACAAGACCAAGTGATCAACAGCATGCACATCGATCTGTGCAAAGGTCCAGTGTGTGGAGCCAATATCTGGCGTCCGATTGGCTGCAAAGCATATTTGGCTTTCGGCATTCACACCTACAGTGAGTGAGTTTAGTTTTACGCTGCTTTTAGCAATATTCCAGCAATATCACGGCGGGGGGACACCAGAAATGGGCTTAACACATTGTACCCAGCTTTCCTACAGAGTGAACTTTGATTCAAGAGCCCGGTACATACTAGTTTGGGAAAGCAAGATGAAGTCCCCATGAAGCACCTACCACTACCCATGCAGGTAGTGCTTCACAGTCCCTGAACAGCCCTTCCGCCCAGCTCTTTCAGCATTAGTCTAGTAAACAGACAAAGAAGGTTGCTTAATGTCTTTCATTCCTTGTTTACATAAAGTAGATCATTGATCAACAGAGACTTTGACACTTTCAGCTTCCGTAATGGTGCGGGGTAGTCGAGTGGTGAAAGCGTTCACCCGTCACGCCGAACACCCTGGTTCGATTCCCCACATGGGTACAATGTGTGAAGCCCATTTTTGGTGTTCCCCGCCATGATATTGCTGAAATATTATTAAAATCGGCATAAAAATAAACTCGCTTATCTATCTTCCCTAATCCAAAAGGTCATTGATTCACATCCATTGACAAGTGAAATTATTATAATTACAGTTAATGTATATACCCAGGTGCCACCATCGGCCCGACGTCGTGTGCATTATTATAAGGGTAATGCTATTTTTGAGGGCATTATCATTTGCAGAAGCCCGAGGTCTTCCATTAACTGCCCGACGAAGGAGGGCAGTTGAAAAAGACCGAGGGCTTCTGCAAATGATAATGCCCTCAAAAATAGCATTACCGTTATTATTGCTAAAATACATGGAATTTGTGTTGAAAAGAAAAAGGAAACAATGAAGGAATTTGACTGTAAGTTTACCAAAATCAACTTCTGACGGGCCTGACTGCCCGAATGCAATTACGTCATCGAACAATTCAAGTGACGTCACAACAGAAAGTGACGATATTCGACCTTGGCCTTTGACAAGACCATAGCCTGCAGCATGTCAAACTATGACAGTGTTCGGTTTTGGTCCATCAACAGTCTTAATAGTGCAATTGTTAAGGTTAGCACCAGCAAGAAAGCCAATATTACCGCTATTTGAAGCGGGAATTTGGGTTGCTTTGACTTGTTTGACCCAGAATATCTGCCAGTCGAAAGCAAATTAATGTCGAACTATGACGTCACTTGACAACAGAACTGATAGTGGCCCGTCGTTAAGGTTGAGCGGTCCAATATCATTTGCAGCGGACCGCAAATTTCTGATAATGGGAGGGCCGTTTCATGATAATTTCATGTATTTTAGCTATAATGACCCGACGTACATTATCGGACCGATGAAGTTTTGCTTATGGGATCGACGCTAAGGTGACCGTAACTCCCATACCTTAACATAGACTTAAGGTAGTCTTAGCGCTAAGGTTGTTTTGTACAACGGCACCCAGGGCTCCGTTGTTCAAAACAACCTTCGCTGAAGAGTTCGGCCTTAGTTAAGGTTACGGCTAAGGCTCGAGTCCGAGTTAAGGTTGCCCTAAGCGCCTAAGGTTGTTTTGTGCAACAGGCGTAATTTTTTCTTAAGGTGATCGTAACTCTAACCTTAGTGTTTGAGGTTGACGTTATAGCTAAGGTTGTTTTGAACAACGAAACCCAGAGCCAAGCCCATTTGAGCCGTGCCGACTCCTCTTAAATGCGGTGTTAGGAGCTCGATGGACTTTGCCCCCTGTGACTCCAAGATGGCAGTGTTTGTGTAGGCTCAGCTGTTTCGAGCCCTAATAGCAGTCGTCAGAGATAAGTGCACATATTGTCAGAGTGCGATCATGGCTGCTCTTCTGAAATCATGGCGAGAGGCCGCTACTCTGATTCTTGTTTCAGCAAACAGATGCCGCGGTCGTATAACTTTTAAACCAGTGGGCTCAAGTCAGACGACCGCTGAACCAAAGGGAGATAACTTTGAGACACTGATGCTGAAAAGAAGCAGCAAGTCAACTTTTATGCCTAATCTCTATGTCTTCCCGGGCGGAGTAGCAAGTGATGCAGACTTTTCTAAAGAATGGTACGACATATTAGGTCAAGCTGGCGAACTTTCAAGGTCCAACCTGTTCAATTTTGTGAAGGGAAATGGACCAGGGGCACCGATGTTTAATCGAATTCGAGATGCAGAATTCACTACAATACCCAGTGAAATAGCTTTCAGGATATGTGCCATACGAGAAACGTTTGAAGAATCGGGCGTTCTGCTAGCGAGAAATGTTTCCGACATGAAGCAAACGACTGTGATTAATGTAGACTCTCCAACATACGGCAATGCATTGAAATCAGATTCAAACATTAATACTTGGAGGAAGAGAGTTGAAGAAAACGCTTCAGAATTCATCACAATGTGTCGTGATATGAATATTGTACCAGACGTGTGGTCACTGTATGAGTGGTCAGACTGGCTGACACCAGCCCAGGAGATCATTCTTCATCGTAAACCCAGAAGATACGACACAGCCTTCTTTCTGTGTTGTGTGGACGAAAAACCAGATGTGGCTGAGGACAAGGGAGAAACTGTCCATAGTCAGGTACGAATAATGAACAATGATGAAGAGGAATCTGACAATTTGATGTTTATGATGAACAACTATTGTCATGCTTATAGCGTCATCAAGTACGTTTCATTTGACCAAGCATTGTGTCTTCAGAGCTTTCAGTCATGGGTTTTGTTTGTTTAATGCAGCGCTCAGCAATATTCCAGCTTATAGGATGGTGATCTGCATTAAATTGAGTCTGGACAAGTCAGCAAGGCCACCCGATCCATGAAGGGTCTTTGTCGGCACGGGTACTGCCTATGTGTACCCGAGGTACGTTTCTTTATACAGAGGGATCGGGTGGTGAGGTTCGCTGACTTGGTTGACATGTTATCGGTTCCGAATTACGCAGATCAAAGTAGAGGTCAGTTACAGTACCGGACAAGATCCATTAAAAGTTTCCGTGGTAACTGCTCATGGGATGGAAGCCTATTCTACCCTCAAACAATTTTGTTCCCATGTAGATCTGGGTTAGAATTGGTCTGCAGCAACCCATGCTTGTTGTAAAAGGTGACTAACGGGATCGGTTGGTCAGGCTCGATGACTTGGCTTGCAAATATTGCTTAAATCGATACTCGCCGACTTGGTTGACATGTCATCATATCCCAGTTGTGTAGACAATGGTGTTGCTTACTGGATTGTCTGGTCCAGATTCAATTATTTACAGACCGCTGCCATATAGCTGGAATATTGCTGAGTGCGATGTAAAACTAAACACACTCACTCATTCTTTATACAGAAACGTACCATAGCCAAAATCAGAATACAGAAACGTACCCTAGAACGATTCCATTCTGCATTGTGCCCTTTTCTTGATCAGAACTGTCATACTGTTGTATTGGATGCATTTGATTGCATTATGTAAGAAACAAGTATACAAAGTAAGGAATATTACTTGTAGCACTTTATCACTCGCAATCAGTTGAACGGGGAACAACTACATACGGCTTCAGTTTTGGGTTGCAGAAGATGGACTCGTCCACTGTGTAGGGTACTGGGTACGTTTCTGTATTTTGACATTGTTTTACGGTACATTTCTGTATACAGGTACATATCTGCCGACAACTAGTTGTACCCCAGTCACCTTTTACGACAAGCATGGCTTGCTGAAGACATATTCTTACCCAGAATTTCACGGTTATGCATCCATCGGAGTGATGCCAATTTACACTTGTCAGAGTGGAACACAAAGTATGTGATCTTGACTACCAGTTGATAGACTTCCATTTTTGCGGACCTAACAGTGGCTGAGTGGGTTACCATTTCAGCTAACATCAGTCTATACAATAGCAGTGTATGAAATAAGCCAAAAACCCAGCCAGACATCTGGGCTGGTAAGTTAACCAGTCCTTCTTAAATACCAAATAGACAGTAGTGGCGGTCCGATTAATTGAAATAATCGAAGATTGGTCGCAGTGACTAAACGACCAACCAATCGATCATGTTTTCTCATAATCGAACACAAACAATTCTGGAACACTTGTTTTCATTAACACTATTTTTCACAAGGTTGGTTTTGTCTGTTACATTTCATAAGCACTACAAGCTTGTTCCAAGTCATGATTGAATTTATCTTAGACTCCAAGAAATTAATGTTCCTAACCTACTAGTCATCCTTGAAAGATGTGAAATTTGCAAATGCATTTTGTGCAATTTGCAAAAACACCAAAGAATTACAAGTTTTTTTCTTTATTTTTTTTGTCCATTAACAAAAATAATCAGGAAAATTTCATATATGACGCTAACCAATTATTTTCGATGATTGATCGGTTGTAATGAACCAATCATCAATCATGAGATTTTAACCAATTCCCAGCACTAATAGACAGTGCCAGTGGACACGTTATCTGAATATATTTTTTTCACTCGTCCATCGGGCTGGATAGCTTTAAAATTAGACCGTCCGGCAGAAATCTAGCCCGTCTCGGGTGGTCAGACGGACCTTATTTCATACACTGACAATAGAATGTATAACCTTCTTAGAATCGTCTGGATTTTATGCCACTAGTGTAAATTTTTAACTGTTATATATTAGGAGTTTTTATTCAAAATAATGTTTTTGTTACAGTGGGGATCTCCACTGAATATTTTGCTGGAATTTGAAAGAGGATGGGCAGGCATAGCACCACCTCAGATGTACGAACTGGCTCGTTTGCTGAACATTGGCAGTATGGAGGAATTGGTTCACTTCTGCTGGTCACGGGAACGGTCAGGGAACAGAATTGAACGATGGCTTCCTGTCAGATTTGAATGTGCAGACGCAGTCCTGTACCTTATGCCTGGTGAGTTGATTTACTCAATCAGTTAGTTTTAGATTTACAGGTCACACTGTGCCCAAAACTTTTCGACTCAACTGGTCCCTGGTCATCATTTTGTAATAGTCCGCTTATATATGGCACTCATATCCAGTGACATTGCCTGCTCACGGCAGTACAGACATTACTATCCCCGGTCATAGGACACTGACGTACATTCTGATACTTTTTCAACTCCCTAAAGATTATACAGCCATGCTGCCTGTTAGGCGCAATGAGCTAAGCACTCACATTGCCAGCACATCCTCACGGGTACAAATTTTACAGCCGGGTGAACTGAGACAATGTGGATCTAAGTATCTTGTCCAAGGATACTACATAAATGTGCCCACCTCGGGACCCGAACCTAGGTGCCTCCACCAGGGATCGAACCTGGGCCTTTAGGGACTGTTCATAATTTATGGCTAGGGGGTTGATGATGATTTTAAGGGGGGGTCACCCATTTTTCGGTGTGTGTGTGTGTGTGCGCGTGCGTGTGTGTGTGTGCGTGCGTGCCAGCAATTTTGTACACACGTACTAGGGGGGGTCAGCAATTTTGTACATAAAATTATGTTTAAAATTATATTTTGAAATTATGGGAAGGGGAAGGGGGGTCACTGATTTTGTACACGACATGCACATAATTTTTTTAATTTTGTTTTGTTTTGTTGTTGTTGTTTGTTTGGGGTTTTTTTTGGGGGGGGCATTCACATTGTACATGCTTCTCCATAAAAATCATCATCACACACACCCACCACCCAGCCATAAATTCTGAACGGTCCCTTAGCGTGATAGGCAGACACCTTACCACTGCACTATTGCGCTCTACCATTTTGAGAAAACCTTTGAGATCATCTACCTTGTGCATAAGGCTACACCCATTCCTGTAATTCAAGCTACTAAAACTTACCTTATATACAGCGATATATGGTAGATCTTAGTGCTGATGCATGAAAATTTATGCCTAAAAGATGAAAGAAATTTTACTAGAATTGGGTTTCCTGTTCAGTGTGCACCGGAACATGATCTGGAAAATTGTGTAAAGGCCACAATTAGGCAAAGTTCCATGAAATAAGTCACTGACTGCTCGCAGTCAGTTGAACTTGAAGAAAAGCGATGTTGGTTGTGAAGTGCAGTGGATTGGTCACTGGTTGGATCCTTAACTTTAGTCTTTGGTCCTGTTCCACTCTGATTTGCCTGTTTCATGTGGGGTCTCGACCTCCTCCGTGGTGTAGTGGTTAGAGCATCCGCCCGGGAGAGCGGAAGGTCGTGGGTTCGATTCACGACCGCGTCATACCAAAAGACATTAAAATATGGTACTTGTTGGTCCCTGCCTGGCGCTCAGCATTAATGGGTACAACAAGGACTGATCGGCTCGGAGTCGGTATAATGTGTCTGAGTGGGGTATTCATGCTTCACTGTGGCATGGTATCTCAGTGGGCTAGCACTATAAAACCAGCTTCAGTCTGGGCTAGTACAAGCAGCCGCACGTACACATACACACGCATGCACGTCGTCATAAGAGCGAAATATTCTAAGGCACGACGTTAAACCCAATTTCGCCTCACCTCACCTCACCTCACCTCGCCTCACCTCACCTTATGTGGGGTCTCTTGAACCAGGACCCGATTTCTCGAAACAAACTTAAGTTTTTACTCAAATTTCAAACTGAGTTGACAATTTGAATCAGCTGAATTTTAAACTCAACTGCATTTTTTTAAATAAAAAAGCCGAAACATCTTAAGTAATCTATCCACCAAACTCAAATTGTCTACTATGTTTGAGTTTATTATCGATTTAAGTTCATTCTGGGAAATGCATTTTCTCAAATTTGAGTTAAAACTCTAACTTAAGTCAAAACTCAGACTTAAGTTTGTTTCCAGAAATCGGGGCCAGGTGTCTGAAATATGCCTGTTGATCCACCAGTGAATGGATACCTTGTAGGATAAGGTTGTAATTTGACTGTTAATCTTCTATTGCCTCATGTTATATCTTATACTCCAAAAGGAGTTGAGAATAGTATTCAAAAGTGCATTGATCTTTTGCCAGGAATATTAATGGCATATGCTGCTTATCATTATTATCATTATTCACATGATTCATCTATCAACTGTCACCTAGCGAGCCATGTAGATCCAGGTTAGAATTGGTCTACAGCAACCCATGCTTGTCGTCAGAGGTGACTAAGGCTCGGTGACATCATCACCATCATCAAAATCTGTATTACGTATGAAGGCCACAGGCCCATATACATATTAATATACATTAGTTGACACATGTCATCTTATCCCAGTTGTGTAGATGGGTGTTCATGTTGTTGATCACTGGATTGTCTGGTCCAGACTCGATTATTTACAGCTGGGTGTGGCATTAAACAACAACCAACCAATCTGATGATGCCAATTGTTGCAGGTGATGAGCTGTACCCAAAGGTGCCGGATATCTACGGAGAAGGGGAAATACTGAAAAGCAGCTTGACGTTGGAGGAATTAGAGCAGAAATACCCTTTACAACACCGAACACGATATGAGGTTGACAGTGAGGGAAAGCGCAAGGGACGTGTCTCCTGCAATATTGAAATGGCAGCAGGACATGTAGCTCCATATGTGGACTTTGCCAATCTTACAATAGAATCCACAGAATCCAAACTGTGAAGTGGTTGGATAATGTTTATCATGTTTATGGTGTGAAAGATGTGAAGTATATTATTATGATTATCACTATGTTAATCAGTCAAAGTCAGTGAGTTGGGTGTTATGCTGCTTTAATATTCCTGTAATATCACGTCAAGGGACACCAGAAATGGGCTTCACACATTGTATCCAGAGGCCCAGATAAGCTGCGGATCCGGGTAAAATACGCATAGAATTACGCATTGAAAAATAATTGTTGCGTACCAATTATGCATTTAAAAAGGTAGATACGCAAAAAGTTTTAAAATAATGGGTACGGAATATATTTATAAAATTCGCTTGCATAATGAAAAAGACATTGATTGCTATCAAGTTGGTCTGTTAGTATAGGACAAGTGTTGTAATGTCAGTATAGGATGAGTGATTTTTTATGAAATCATTTCCATTATATTTAAGTTGGTTTTGATTAGGTATGACATAAGGCAGAACATACCTGCTTAGTAAACTTGCTCAATGACATAATACTTAGGTGAGTAAAGTGACTGAAATACGCACATATTTGAAAGCAGTGGGTAACGGAAAATGAAATACCCACTCAACATTCATAATACCCACTCCAAACAGTGAGCTAAATCTTATCTGGAGCTCTGGAATCCATTTGGGGAATCAAACCCGGGCCCTCAGAGTGACGGGTGAACGCTTTAAATAACAAGGTTACCCCACCACCATTTTTAATCTGTCTACTACTACTACTAAAATGGGGTAGCTTAGTGGTTAAAAAGACATGACAAAGACCTGGGTTTGATTCCCCACATGGGTACAATGTGTGAAGCCCAATTTCTAAATATGGGTGGTGTATATATGGTATAGATATATAAAAAGATAAGTCCAGATATGTCTTCTTGTCAAAAACACCTTTATCTGCACAAGCTCTTTCGCCATTCAACAGTATAGATATATAAACTCGTTGTATAACATATTTATCCTCTTTTGACAAGGAGTAAAACAAATTGATAACTGAATTTGTTCACAATATTGTGTTAGACCACATTTATTCAATGTTCCAGCTGTACTTTGGCAGGATTTGCTAATGAAGACTAAATTATTAATCAGAAACATTTACACTGGTTGAAAGTTCATAATTGTAGGGACCCGTTGATTCCTTAACTTAAGGAGCAGAGGGGTAATGGCCTGCAAGTTTTCCATCTGTCAAATCAATGTACCTTATTTATTAAAATTTTCTAGAGTAACTTTAATGTGCAAACACAATCCTATTTCACCTATCTGTTTATTAGAATAAAATCATTATCGCTGTTGAGTTAAGTGCAACAGTACTCTGCTGCAAGCTCTTAGCAGTGCTTGTAATGTAAACGGTAATGCACCAGGTTTTGCCTGATATTCGCTGTTAATTGTCATGAACTACATTCAGTCTCTGCTAAGCATATATTGTTCCCTGTGTTAACATTCTAGATTATTGTTTATGTTATGTCAGTCATATTTCCTGACAGTGATTTGGGAGTATGCAAAGAATTCAACTTTTTTTGAATTTAGATTTTTGGGAAGGGGGCAGGGATGTCGCAAAATTTAAGGAATTAGATTTTATATCCTACTCTGAACTTTTGAACAGGTGCCTCGTCATGAGGCCAGTCATCAGGTGTAGGGAGTTATGTTGCCTACTTCTGTCTCCATGTTATATCCCCTCTGGTCAAGCTGAGACTTTCTAGATGTACAGTGTATTCAGAGGAGCATCCAGTGAGAAACACTGTTTGACTGGAATATGGCATTCAATAAAGCGCTGTGTGATAGTCTCTGTGTTGATTGTTTCTGTAGTTCCTGACCAAATCATTGTAATATTTACATGGGGTGTCTACTCTGCATTGTTCCTGACATCTTGATGCTTGGAGCTGATCTTGGATAAAGGCGTGTTCTCTAGTGGTGGTCCGATTAATTGAAATAATCGAAGATTGGTCGCAGTGACTAAATGACCAAGCAATCGATCATGTTTTCTCATAATTGAACACAAACAATTCTAGCACACTTGTTTTCATTAACACTATTTTTCACTAGGTTGGTTTTGTCTGTTACATTTCATGAGCACTACAAGCTCGTTCCAAGTCATGATTGAATTTATCTTAAAGACTCTAAGAAATTTATGTTCCTCCATACTAGTCATCCTTTAAAGATGTGAAATTTTGCCAAAAAAACCCCCAAAGAACTACATGTTTTTTTCTTTATTTTTTTGTGCAATAACACATTTCATAAATGGCGCTAACCAATTATTTTCGATGATTGATCGGTTGTAATTAACCAATCATCAATTATGAGATTTTAACCAATTCCAAACACTAGTGTTCTCAGGAGATGTCATGAGACTATAAATCTGTTGTACTGATCACATGGTTGTACTGATCACACGGTTGTACTGATCACACGGTTGTACTGATCACACTGTTGTACTGATCACAATATTCTACTTATCACACTGTTGTACTGATCACTCAGAAGTACAAATATTTGATCAGATATTTAATCATACTGCAAAAACATCTCTGGTGTCTCACTTAGTCCTGTGAAACAATTTGCTTCATCATACTGAAGTCTCTGCACAACCTGTACCATTCTTTGTCCTGTTTCTGACAGCAAGTAATAATTCACATCTTTTCCTCCGCAGGGCACAACTAAGTCAAGTGTCCTTCCAACGGCACTGTCATTTCACTCTGGCTCCTGCGTGGTCAGTCTTTGTCCAACAATCAGTAAGTGATCCTTGAGAAACTGTTGATCTTGTTCAATGTCTGGACATTGATTTTACTGAATCTTGCCACAACTGTCCCACGAGTCTTGACCAAGTTGCAATAAAAGAATAATGTTTCATCATCTACTGCATCGTCTCATTCCACCCAGGCATTTAGTTTGAGACTGTTGATGTAGATTGAGCACCATTACAAACTGCTCTAAAGAATCAACTCCTGCTATAAATTGAGATTGTAGTTTGTATAATCAACTCCAGCTCCCAGGGAGATGGGATCGTAGTCTGTTTAATCTAATTTGAATCTACTTTGGCTCCACAGTGAGACTGGATTCGTCCAGACACACAATCCTCGACTTCATATCTCTCCTATCTTGTTTCCCGACAGGACGCCAGTTATGGAATCCGACAGTACACCTGGAAAATAAAGACATTACTCTTTGGGAAGTCTGACACCAACATGTGTTAACCATTCTGTATTTCCTTGCACTTGTTCTTGCAGGAATAAGAAGCTGAAATCTATAGGCTAAGGCTGTCTTTATTGATACTACAGCTTGCTTCTTCTATGCCACTTTATGACAGAGTGCACTTGTGGATTTCAGCTTCTCTCTACCCATGAAGGTCTGGGTTAGAATTGATCTTCAGTAACCCATGCTTGTCGTAAGAGGCAACTAACGGGATCGAGTGGTCAGACTCGCTGACTTGGTTGACACATATCATTGTATTCCATTTGCGTAGATCGATGCTGATCACTGGAATGTCTGGTCCAGACTCGATTATTTAAAGACCACCGTCATATAGCTGGAATATTGCTGAGTGCGGCATAAAACTAAACTCACTCAGCTTCTCTCTATGTGACATTGTAGTTCAGGTGCTAGTAGCTTATCAGAATCCTTGTATCTTCTGTGCAACATTTCAGCTGCTGACCAAATCAATAGATTCTCATCCATTTGTCACAAGGCTCGATAAAAGCCTAAGGTCTAAAGCTTGCATGGGAGTTCAAAACTTTTATCAATGAATGTTCATTGATATATTTGATGTAAACAAACACGATGGTGAGATTCTTATTGTCCTACATCATTCTGTTACTTCTGTTTGTATACACTAACAAATAGTAGCCTCAGTGTAAATGTTCATCTAAACAACATCAGTTGAAGAGATATAAGTGATGTCATTTCTTGTGATGTCATAGTCATGGATGATGTCACAATGGTCTGAAAAGCATTGTGATGCAGTGTATTGCATCTCCACATACATACCCAGTCTGTGCATGTTCCTCCAAGGTAGCGTTGGCTGTCTGGGTTGCCAGGTCACAACATGTCCACCTGTGATTTGGCATCTGCTTCTTGCCCCCATTGGTGCTTGTCAATTGATCTGCAACTATAACAGGGTAAAATCATGTTATTAACAACCAAATAAACAATCACAATTTTAGGGCGTAAGTTGGAGAACCTTATCCCATTTACATTTTGTGAATGATCAAATCAAATCAAACCAAACCAGGATAATATGATACTTCAAAATTAAATGGATGAGGGTGATTATCTGCACAAACATGCAGCTTTGTTTCCTCTCTGTCTCCGAGATCTTTGGATGAGGCAACAAATATTTTAATACCTATATATCCCGGATGGTAAGTGCACTTGGCAGCCTTAAACAATGGTGTAGTGTAGCCCACCAAACAGTTGAGGCAGCGACTCCCATCCAGTTTGGAGACGTTCCCTTGTCTGCCATGACGTCTGCAAACACAAACCCACATTCATATATGATGAATTATAAACACAAAAATATAGTCATACATTCACTCAGTCCCATGATGCTCCATGTAAGGAGATGACACTTGTGTTGTTTGACTTAAACTACAGCATTAACGCAACAAAATGCTGAGCTACACCGATAATTATTTTTAAGGATGCTACACAAATGTGCTGTACAGAATAATTTTTTTTCCAAAAATGATAACCAAGGTAGCCTTTTTTGGAATCCCTATATCAAGTAATAAGGTAGGAACGTACTGCCTGTTGTTGTTTTTGAATCTCTTCTCATATTTCCTGACGTTTGACATCTTCTCATTGATGTTGACATCTGTACAAATAGAATAAAAGAACATAACAGTCAGTTTCTTCTGTACATTCACACCTATTCCACTACCTGTATACTATTAATGTTTTGACTTGTCGCTACACAGGCGTACAGGTTGTTCCACAATGTTTCCCAATGGATTTTTGGCTCGGAACATATACAATGTTAACTGCAATAATATTCTTGCCACAATCTACATGAACCTTAACTGCATAAAACTGAACACAATTCACTTCTTAATACACTTGCCTTGATGTATACATATAATTTCAATTGTGCAGTTTCATTGTAATTATGGAGTTGTAATCACCGAACGGGCTGAGATGTTTCGTTGCTGTTGCAGACAAGTATTCTTCACCTGTCCGATTTCCAACTCGATAGGTAAATATATTGTCAGATTTGAAGGCAAGTGTCCAAAGAAAAGAATCATTTAGAAACCATTTTGAACAAAAACGTGACCTATATATTAATGACTAACATATATGAACTTTTAAATGACATAACATTTCATGAAATCAACACTTGCAGTTTCTTCCTATTCCATCGCACACTGTATTCGAAAGACACATAGAAAATTGACAAATAGACCTAATTAGAACAAAATGCGAGATAAATTTATACGAGTTAAATTTGTTAACAAATTTAGTTTAAACATGAAAGAAACTGAAATTGACTTGACAATTACATCAGGTGCTTGATTGGCATTTTAGAAGATGATATTTGATGAACATAGAGATTTTCTGGGTTACAATAAAAAGAAGATGTAACCCAGAAAAATCTCTATGTTCAATTACATCAGGGTTCGAAATACCCCATATATTAGCATGCCATGGCACAGTAAATACTGAAATGGCAGGGATAAGAAACGTTCTTGGTGCCCTCAAGGCACGCGCCTAAAGTTTTAGAGACATAACTCACCTCTAGTCATTTAATCCCCAAAACAAAACACTTACGCAATGACAAACAGGCAGAAACATTTATTGACTTTATCGCCCAGGAAATCACTGGAATTATGATGGATGATATAAAAAAATCTGGTTGTTTTTCCATTTAGAGTGATGGGAGTACTGATAGTTCAAGTATTGAGGAGGTAATTGTGTATGATTGATATATTGAACAAGTGAACCTGTCACAAAATTCTTCAAATTATCATCATCATTGCTACAGCCATTTATTTTGAAAAAGATGTGGGCACACTTGATTTCTGAAAGGCACACTTAAAATCTTTGCCTGGTGCCCTAAGGCACACTTAAAAAAAAATGTATTTCTATCCCAGTACATTGACCTTTGCATGGATATTTTTCTATGAATACTGTGTAACATGTACACAAGAAAGTATGGACTGTGATACTTAGATATTGGTTTAGAAGTTATTCAGAGAGTGGTTACTGTGGTTATGTTAGCAGGCTGATTTATATGGCAGTGAAGATCCGGTTAGAATTGGTCTTCAGTAACCCATGCTTCTTGTAAGAGGCGTGGTCAGGCTCGCTGACTTGTTTGACACATGTCATTGTATCCCAATTGTGTATTTTGATATTCATGTTGTTGATCAATGGATTGTCTGGTCCAGAATTGAGTATTTACAGACCGCTGCCTGCCATATAGCTGGAATATTGCTGAGTGCGGCGTAAAACAATGAACAGACAAAACAGGAAGTAGAAATGTTATGTAACTGTGGACAGACTTCAAATTCTATTTACCTTTTGAACGGTGCGTTTTCCTGACTGCCCTTTCACCCTTTCTCCGATAGTACTCCAGCGTCTGATAGAAAGATCACATCATCTGATATTAAAGTTCAAAATGTCTTCTTTTAAAAGACAGAATTCTAGCCTTAATGTTTAGTGAAGTCAGTAATTGAATGTTTTTTAATGCTACATTTGGCAATATTTCTGAGGCTTCAACTAAATGTTTGGACAAGGCAAGCCAGAGGGTGAAAGAATGAACACCGATCCATGCTTTTTCGACAAATCTCACTGAAAATGAAATCAGATCTTTCATTTCGTACGATACCTCTCTGCATGAAGATCTGAGCTCACCTCATTGGGAAAACACTTCAGGTGAACTTTCTTTTATTGTGGAGGCTCCGTTAGATCTTCACATGGAGAGGTATTGGATCGGAGAAAAACATCTGATTTCAGTTAGAGTACAGCAAGTGCAGGTCAGTTACAGCGCCTGACAAGATCCATTAAAGTTTCCATGACAACTGCTCATGGGATGGAAGCATATTCTAACCTCAAACAATTATGTTCCCATGTTAGAATTGGTCAGCAGCAACCCATGCTTGCCGCAAAAGGTGACTAACGGGATCGGTTGGTCAGGCTCGCTGCCATGGCTCGCAAATATTGCTTAAATCGATACTCGCCGACTTGGTTGACACGTCATCATATCCCAATTGAGTAGACAACTCGCTCGATGCTCATGCTGTTGATCACTGGATTGTCTGGTCCAGATTCATTTATTTACAGATCGCTGTCATATAGCTGTAATATTACTGAATGCGGCGTTAAACAACAAACAAACAAAAATAAAAATATAACAAACAAACAATCCATGCACCTACCTTCAGTCGACAGTATTCTCTTTCCACGGCAATCCGATTTGCTTCCTTCACAAGATACTGAGAAACATCCTCCAAATTTAGAGGATTCCGTGCAAGGTATTTGATCTCAGCAGCAATGGTATGGTCTTGTACACTGACAAACTCGACCTTCAGGTTTATTTTACACCCAAACTGTCTCTCTATTTTACGGATATTTTGACCCCTTTGCCCAATAAGAAACCCCATGAAACGACGCTCAGATGTCTTCACTGTAAACCTAGCTGTTTCTGATGTCCAGATGTCCTGGCTAAGCTTGGAGCCATCAGCATTAACATCAACACAATCGATCAGAGCAAAGTCTTGTCGCAGTGCACATTGTAGAAGGTAGATGAGACGTTTTGCACTTCTACTTCTATGTTGTTCTTTCCAGATGTCGCACCCATACAGATATTTCACAAACTCCCTGGCCTCTATGTTTGGAATGTCTTTGATGGTAATCTCAGACAAGACCTTGTTAAAATTCTTTGGAAATTTTTCTGTAACAGGAAAGGATAAAAATCTGACAAATGTGATAAAATATCTCTCATGTAACAACCATAATGGATGGTGCTTTCCATGACATAAATCGATTCAATTAACTTCACAATCCAAACTACATTAAAAATATGTTTATAATGAACATGCTTGCCAAAATTGACAGTTGCAAAACTTGAAGGTAATTACCTGGAGATTTACAGGTACACACAAGCTTTTTGAACTTGGCAAGGTAGATGACAGGTACGATATTCCCTCTTATTTGATTGATGAAGTACTGAAAACGGCCTCTCCATCGTTTGTCATGGTAGAGACAAACGTTTTTGGGGTCATCACCTCCTTTACTTTGCATTGTAAAAGTCGTGGTAGGCTTGTCTCATACGACTTGCTGAAATGGAGGAGAAGATGAGTTGTGAGTGAGTATGTTTTTAAGCTACTTTTAGCTTTTAGCGATATTCCAGCAATATTACTGCAGGGGACACCAGAAATGGGCTTCATACACTGTACACATGTGGGGAATCGAACCTGGGTCTTTGGCGTGACGAGTGAACGCTTTAACCACTAGGCTACCCTACTTCCTATGATTAATAACAAGTGCTGGTTATCGCCCACAATATGCAGATAGATAATCAGGGATTTACATGGACTCCTGTATTTGAGGGTCCCTGGGACTCATACTCTTAATTTTCAGGGGTCCTGGGCAACAAAATTGGGGTCAAACACTTAAATATTATTATTAAAACTGTTATATTATTGTGGATCATGATCATCACTTAAATTGTTACGACCCGTGAAGGTCCGGGTTAGAATGAGCCTTCAGTAACCCATGCTTATCGTAAGGGGCGACTAACGGGATCGGGTGGTCAGGCTCGCTGACTTGGTTGACACATGTCATCGGTTCCCAATTACGCAGATCCATGCTCGTGCTGTTGATCACTGGGTTGTCTGGTACAGACTCGATTATTTACAGAGCGCCGCCATATAGCTGGAATATGGCTGAGTGCAACGTATTACTAAACTCACTCACTCACTTAAATTGTTACAGTAATCAAATTGCAAATGAACTCAGTGATAACTTATTGTTACTTGATTGGAATTTTTACAAAAAGTATTTGGACTTTTTCTGAGTCCCTGTGGACTCTCTAACATCTTGTAAAATCATGTCGTCAATATATAATAGGACACAATCGTAACATTATGCAAATATTAATTAATACTTCGATCAAGACGATTGTTGATACTTCCTGTAGAAACACACATGCAAGTATGTTGTTTACATTGCTGTTTCATGAGTCAGGAAACTACATCAGTTGTTACCCGTGAAGATCTGGGTTAGAATAATGATCTTCAGTAACCTATGCTTGTTGTAAGAGGCGACTAACGGGATCGGGTGGTCAGGCTTGCTGACTTGGTTGACACGTCATCAGTTCCCAATTGCGCAGATCGATGCTCATGCTGTTGATCACTGGATTGTCTGGTCCAGACTCGATTATTTACAGACTGCCGCCATATGGCTGGAATATGGCTGAGTGCGGCGTAAATCTAAACTCACTCACATCATTTGTTTATGTCATGGTTTAACAAAGATAATAAGAAACATACTTTCTCAACTTTAATTTCATGTTTCATTTTTATGAGTACTGATTAGTCTCTGAGGCAAGTGAGATCGATCAAATGACGGATTATCCAGTCAACCACTCGATATATAAATAACCAGTGAATAAATAGTGTTCAATTAGATTAAAATAGAACCATATTTTGCTAACTGATGTCTTAGGATGACAACATGAATAATTTGAACAAGTATGAAAACAACATTACCAGTAACTTTGCAATGTTGGGATGCTCTCAGGCCTTACAGTCACATATGACCCGTGAAGATACGAATTAGAACTGGTCTTCAGCAGCCCATGCTTGTAGTATTAGGTGACTAACGTGGTCAGGACCTAGGGACCGTTCATAATTTACGGCTAGAGGTGTGTGTGTGTGTGTGTGTGTGTGCGTGCGTGTGATGATTTTTATGGAGAAGCATGACTGCCCCCCCCCTACATTTTTTATGTTCAAAGTAAGTGACCCCCCTGCATGTCATGTACAAAATCAATGAGCCCCTCCCCCTTTGCCATATTGTAAAGCATTATTTTAAAATAAATATTTTTATGCACAAAACTGATGGCCTCGCTAATCCATGTGTATAGAATTGATCCCCCTCCCAGAACAAAATGGGTTCACCCCACCCCACCCCCACCCCCCAGCCATAAATTATGAACGGTCCCCTAGTAGTTGGTGACGTGTTCAAGGTGCATGTCATCGTATCCCATTTGTGTATATCTGCTCAGGGGCGGTGGGGTAGCCTAGTGGTTAAAGCGTTAGCTCGTCACGCCGAAGATCCGGGTTCGATTCCCCACATGGGCACAATGTGTGAAGCCCATTTCTGGTGTCCCCCGCCGTGATATTGCTGGAATATTGCTAAAAGCGGCGTAAAACTAAACTCAGTCAGTCAGTATATCTGCTCATGATGTCATATATTAATTTTGTAAACACATTAAAATTCTGCTTACACATTTTAACGATTTGTCTATTTTTCACTTAGCTCAAATTCGTCCCACGTCGAAGTAAGCTCGTCGAAGTCAGCTCGTAAAACAGCTATCCATGTTGAATAACGTTAAGGTTAATTATAAACTTACCAGAACTTCAGCTGTCAGTTCAGTCGTGACATTGATTCCCACTTTTCAATATACCCGTACATGAAATTTCAACTGCTCTGTCATTTCAGGCAGTCGTGTCTCAGATGGTAGTGGTAGGACTGAAATGATCGAACTATCGGTTAATATATATACACTGGCACAAATGATCATGTCAGCATATATTACGCTAAACCCCTACTAAGAGGTTAACCATGTCTATCCGTGGTTAACCTCGATATGACGTCACTTAGGAATACTGAAACACTACAAACTCTGAACACTGCCTGCTGTATTGTTTAGCTTTCAGCGACACCTACTTACCAGTGTGTAGAGCTTTCGAAGTAAACATTCGCACGTGGTGAACAGTACGTCATAACAGAAATAAGGAACCTGACTTTGCGTTTCGTTTGAAGAAGAAAAGCGGAGAAGCAGTACTTTTGTTTATGATAATCCATCAACACTGTTTTCAATGACTACATCGTTTTACACACTCAGCGTTTTGACGTAGCAGGTTGTAAACATAGCCGAGAGCCGCGATTGGACCATTCCGGTCAGGATTTCTTCACAGGGGTGACTATTGAAGGGGAAACAACCATTGCGATAGCGTTAGTCTGTTGCAACATACTATTGCGACCTACCTATTGCAATACTATTGCAATAGTTTGGGGGTGTTTTTGAAGTCATTTCCCAAATGAATATGTATAGTTTATATACTACCCATCAAAAGTTTAGACTCACTTAAGCATTCACTATATGTTATGCATATACATATGGTTACATTGAAGATGAATTTCTCCACTAACTTGGGGGCACCAACTGCAAACTTTCTGCAGATGAATTGCACGAGGATCATGCATCAAATTGCTGAAAAACATGTGCAAATATCGTGCATGTGAACAGCTGCGTTTTGGTGTAAAGTTTTCTTAAGAATTCATCAATTTTCACTGAGTTTCATCATTTATTGAACTCATGACAATAATCTTTTCAACGTTACGAATTTGTTTTACAATACATCAGTTCATGTGTAAATATGGTATGGAATACTTTTCAAAATCTGGTTTAGGGCAGTAGACTGAAGTAAGTGGCTACATTTACGCTAGTAAGTCTACACTTTTGATGGGTAGTATACGATATAAAAACAAACTGAAATATATAGTTTCAATCTCTTTTAATTACTGACAAGAAACTTGAAACCCAGATCAAGTAAACAGTTGAAACATAAACTCAATGAAGCTGCAAGTCTGCACCCAAACAATAACAAAAACCAAAAAACAAAAACCACTGTATTTTGCACAGCGTATTTATCAACTCGGAAGTCAATTACTAAGCTATCAATAGTCACACGATTGCGGACCAGGGGTGTGTGTGTGTGTGCGTGCGTGCGAGCGTTTTTTCGTTTAATTAAAATCGATAGTTTTTCGTTTCTACCATCGATGAATTGCTATCGGAGACTCTACAATTGCATTCCATCGATAGCTTGATGCATCGTTACAGCACTAATAAACATAACATATTGCCCGTTTATCACTTCTAAGGCCAAGCGTCTAGGTTATTTAAGAATTCAAGACGTGAGTTGCCTGAACTTTAATTTATTATTGAGTGGCTGAGAAAGCGTTGGGTCTCTATTAGCTGTCCAGAGTTGCCTCTCTTAGACTGATTCTACTCCATGAAGATCACTGTAGCAAGACCGATCTGTCTCACATTCCTTGAATCACATTATTTCCCCTACTGCCTAGCCCACCCTGCACTGCTAAAGCCCTAAATGAAGCAATCTAGATTTCCTCAGGTACTGAAATTCCCATCTCACTGGAGCTCCTTTTCAATTTAAATGGGTTTGTTACTATCAAGATTATGTATATTCATAGACTAAACGTTAGTCTATGATAAGATTGTTATGAAGACAAATGGTATGGACTATTTTCTTAGCACATGGTGCGACGGTCTCATGTGGATACGGGGTGGTGGGCTATAGCCTAGTGGTTAAAGCGTCCGCTCGTCAGACCCTGACGAAGACCTGGGTTCGATTCCCCACATGGATACAATGTGTGAAGCCCATTTCTGGTGTCCCCCCGCCGTGATATATTGCTGGAATATTGCTATAAGCGGCGTAAAACTGAACTCACTCACATGGTGATACACTATATTAACTCAAACCGTAATATACAGGTTCGCAACATGTTGATCTTCCTATATCTAAACTTATGGAGGCGATTTACTTTACGTTTGGGTGAATTCTCGTATCATGAGATGAGAAGCAGGAAAAATGCCTGTTTTGGTGAGACGCGCATCCAAGAGATAAACTGATTAAACATTCAGCACGACTGCCAAAACGCTAATGTGATGCCAGTTATGTTAAAAATATGACCCTTTTATCAGTTTGATGTTTTGCGCCACACTCAGCAGTATTCCAGCATATGACGGCGGTCTGTAAATAATCGAGTCCAGACCTGACAATACAGTGATCAGCAGCATGAGCATCGATCTACGACACTGGGATACGATGATGTGTCAACCAAGCGCCTTGAACTATTCGTCTTCCATTAGAAATGGGTTCTGAAGTCATCACCTGTACCTCCCCAGTGTTCGAACAACAGCATACCCGCAACGGATAATGCCATTCAAAGAGGTGAGGTGAGGTCAAATTGGGTTTTACGTCGTGCTTGAGAATATTTCGCTCATATGACGACGTGCATGCGTGTGTATGTGTATATGCGGCTGCTTGTACTAGTCCAGACTTATGCTGGTTTTATAGCGCTAGCCCACTGAGATACCATGCCGCAGTGACGCATGAATACCCCACTCAGACACATGATACTGACTCCGAGTCGACCAGTCCTTGTTGTACCCATTAATGCCGAGCGCCAGGCAGGGACCAACAAGTACCATTTTTTAACGGCTTTTGGTATGACGAGGTCGGGGATCGAACCTGCGACCTTCCGCTCTCCGGGCGGACGCTCTAACCAGTACACCACGGAGGCGGTCCCATTCAAAGAACAGCTCACATTGAGAGTGACAGAAACAATTTCATTTAATTGAGAAATTTGATTCCGTGGAGATGATTTTTAGTTGTAATGATTTAGTTGGTTCCCGTTATTCAGTCGAAAAGCCAGAAATTTGATTATAAACATACATAAAAAAATAACATACATCGGATACTTAGAAAGCTCATGTAGAGAAAAGGGATCAGGCCCCGATTTCTGGAAACAAACTTAAGTCCTAGTTTCGACTTAAGTTAGAGTTTTTACTCAAATTTGAGAAAATGCATTTCCCAGTATAAACTAAAATCGATATTAAACTCAAACATAGTAGACGATTAGAGTTTGGTGGATAGATTACTTAAGTTGTATGGGCTTTTTTATTTAAAACATGCAGTTGAGTTAAAAATTCAGCTGTTTCAAATTGCCCAACTCAGTTTGAAATTTGAGTAAAAACTTAAGTTTGTTTCGAGAAATCGGGGCCAGAACCGTAAGAAAATTCAAAATGCTCCAGGCCAACATCAGGGATGTCAAATTGTAATCCCACGCGGGTCGTCAGTGACAAGTGAGTCCCATAAGTTCGAAGGAATAAAATGAACGTTCATATTGCATTTTCTGGTCTGCTGTTGCTGGAGCTGAGGATTTATGCCTGCTGGCAGTAAGTGAAATTAAATTAATTAATTTAATTAATTAAATTCAAAATGATTTTATTACAATAAAATTTGATGCAACCCACTAATGTCAAGAACACAGTCAGTTACTTTCATTTGAAGTGTGGTAGGGTGTAAGAAATAATCACCTGCTACAGAATCGTAAAGTCTTTTATTATATTACCATATCACGGGAATCCAGTCAGCTGTGATGTGAGGCCTCTACGTGAGTATACTGTTTTCTTTCATGTGTTTACGCAATTCCTTATTTGTTTCTTCTTTTGTATTGCCTTTTTCCTCAGCATAATGGCAAATATAATGATCTTGGTATAAACCATTAACCTTAAAGACCATTACATGTACAGGAAAAGGCATGCAGTGTGTCACTGAAACTCAGTGTTATAATTCCATGAGATAGATCTCAAGATACACCCACGGAGGGTCGCACCATGTGAAATTCTAATCAGCCATGTCAGGGCACATTTCTCATCAGCCAAGGCTTCTATATTTCAGAGTGAGTGAGTGAGTGAGTGAGTGAGTGAGAGAGTGAGTGAGTGAGTGAGAGAGAGAGAGAGAGAGAGAGAGAGAGAGAGAGAGAGAGAGAGAGAGAGAGAGAGAGAGAGAGAGAGAGAGAATTCCAGCAATATCATGGAAGGATACTCCACTCAAGCATATTACATTGATTTCTCTCCTACTGCCAAGCAGTAAGTACCTTCTTTCTGTTGATTTCCGTATCTCCATGATCTCTAAAACGCATTAGAAAGACCAGTTCCGAATGCAAAACATGTCCACATCATAATGTTGGAGATGTTTATATATATAAAATGTGCCACGTACTATATTACATATCCACCATCAAGTCGAGAAATGTAACTTAACAGCGTCATATTCCGATTATGGGTAGTAGGTGAGTGTGTGTGAGTGAGTGAGGGAGTGTGTATGGTTTTACTCTGTTCATAGCAATATTCCAGCAATATTAGGGCTGTGGACACCAGAAATGTGCTTCACACATTGTAACCATTGTGTGGACTCGAACCCGGGTCTTCGGCGTGACGAGCGAACGCTTTAATATAGGTAGTGGAGATGCTTGTATAAAGATTAATGTAGAGGGTTACAGGTTCGATTTTGTGAAGACAAATTCACCCTCAGTGTAAGGGGGTGTTGGGGTAACTTAGTGGTAAAAGCGCTCGCTCCTTACACCGAAGACCCGGTTCGATTCCCCACATGGGTACAACGTGTGAAGCCCAGAATATTGCCGAGTGCGGCGTTATAAACAAAATCGTGTGTTCAGACTCGCTGACTTGGTTTATGAATGCAGTCGTATTGCGTAGATCGCTGCTCATGGTATCAATCACTGGATTGCTCTGGTCCAGACTCGACCAATTACAAACGGACGGAATATAGATGGGATATTGTGTGCGGCGTTACTCAACAAACAAACTAGGGATATTGGGTTAGTGTAGGTCCCACACTACCTATATTGGTCCTTTGAGGTACTAGTGAGTGTCGATGCTCATGCTGTTGATCACTGGATTGTCTGGTCCAGACTCGATTATTTACAGACCGCCGCCGTATAGCTGGGATATTGCTGAGTGCGGCGTAAAACTAAACTCACTCACTCACTTACTTGT